ACCAGCGTGGGGTGGAAAGGGCTCCCTGACAAGTCATTCCATTCACGAAGAAGGGAGCCAGCAATAGAAAGATCCCAAGAAAGAAGCAAACAACAAAGAGGCAAAAAATGAGAACAAGAGCAACAACGACAATAAAAATGATGAACGTGCTAGCAAAGCGCGAAGAAAAAGTCGCAAGCGAGACAGAAAAAAGTCACAAGCGAGTAGAGATCCGACCTCGCCTCATCCATCTTGGCTGGCTTTCTTTCCATGGCACGCAGATAGTTCTCCTGCAACACGAGTCCGTCGCTTGCCTACTTCCTGACATGTTCTCAGATGCTTCCTGCACCATGATGGGCATGAAATCGGAGTCGACATAGTACATGTCCATCCTGGCACGATGCTGCGGATCCTCTTGCCGTCGCAGCCGCAAGCAAGCTGCCGGAGCCGAACATCAAACAAGCTCCTTGCACAAACTGGGCACAATTCAGGCAAAAGCGGCCGCCGCTCGAGTGGCAGAGGCTCGCGATGAGGCGACAGAAGCCGGGAGCACCTCAGAGGGGTTCGTGCTCAGAGCGAACAAGGGGAGCAAAAGTTTTTTCCGTCCGCTCTCCCGGAGCCCGCTCGCAGCTCCGAGCGCTCGGAGACGCGGAATGCTCTGGGTTCCGGGCGCTTCGAAGGTGGACATCATGACTTGGGAGTCTTTCTGACAGGCCCTGACAGGTGGAACACAAACGGCCCGGCGCAAGCCCTAAAGAGACTACGTCACCATGTCATAACGTCCGAAGCTTGTGTCTGCAGATGTCCCATCCTTCCGCCATTCATGAGCGTGCCGAAGAACTGCAAGTGATTGATGACCTGCAAACTGGCACGGTTCATTGAGTTTGGTGGCTCACAGGCACAGGCACAGCTGCACGCCGACTGGGCTACAAGTTCTCCAGCATCAACGACTTTCAGCTGCCTGCCGAATGTCCTGTCCGCAAGCTTCCACGATCGCTTCAACGGCTGCCTTATTCTCAAGACAGTCTTGCAAGGTGAGCCGCAGATGTACAAAACTTGCTCTCTTGCGTCAACTGCACCAGAAGCGATGCCGGAGAGGATTGACTCAGGCGAATTCAGGGACCGGCAACCTCCACCTTCTTGCCCTCAGACTCAACGATATTCTTGATGCGTTTGGCGACGGCGACGTTCTCCGGCCTGCCGTTCCGGTACCGGCGTTGTGCCAAAGCGTGCAGAGCGAGCGGGAGAGCAACGGCCCCAGAGATGCTCAAACAAGCAGAATACAGGGCAGTCGCGAGCAGAGCCTCCAGAAGCGGAGGTCGTAGCCTGGGAGCGGGTGGCTCGCTTTCTTTGGCTTCGTGTCAGGAGGCGCCCAGTCGCCCCTCAGGTTCAAGCAGTGCGTGGCCAGCTGTCGCACCTGCGCATCGCTCCGGTCCTCGGCTTCCCCCAACCCAGCCTGACTCGAACAGCTACAGAGCTAGAGTCTAGAGAGAGCCTCAGAAAGAGTCTCAGGTCCCAAGCATTGCAAATGCAAATCACTGGGTTCTTGGTCACTTGGATGAGCTTTATCAGCGCCTGCACAGGCCAGACTGCAACATCAAGCTTGGGGGGCTTACACCGCCCAGCAAAATCCAAGCACGCCTGTACACCACCCTTGTCGCCTCCCGCCATGCCATCGCCTGGAATTATGCGGCAAGGTATGAAGCCGTGCTAGTCGCATCGAACCCCTAAGTCCGCCGCACTCATCCATGATGATGACCTGGGTTCTGATGTTTCTTCCGCTAGCTCCCCCAAGGTGTCATGAAGGGGCGACCTTTGGCGCCCAGCCGAGCGCTGCAAGGAGCTCCCAGCATTGCCAAAGCGCAGGGTGCGGTTGCCCGCCTGGGATCAACTTTTGTGGGTCAACTGGTCCAGCTTGTGTCCACAGCAAACGAACGACGGGCAAAGGCGTTGGGCTCATTGCTCTTTTTCGGCGCAACGCTGCCTTCGTGCTGGCATTCGCGGCCCATCTGAACGCTCGTAATCTGAAACTGAAACGTGTCATTTACCGTTTGCCTACTCCAACGAATCAGCATGCATCAGTTCAGTTCTCTTCTGTGGCTTTCCCAGGTGGAGCTGCGGTATGACCTGGCATGGGCCCCGTGGCGTTGGCCGCGCAGTAGAGCTGGTGTTGCTGGTATCTCGCCTTCAGCTCCATGAGCTTCTTAAGGGCCCTCTTCTCTGCAACCTGCCGCTCCAGCTCCTCCATCCGGAGCTTCATGGCGTCGCACTCCTTCATCAGCTTGACAGACCCACGCTCTGATGTGGCTCCTGGAACTCCCAAGCCTCCCATGTCGATTCCGAGCTGCTTTGCAACCTGGGCAAGCTCCTGAGCTTTCGATTGCTCCCGAGCCAGCTCCTGATGAAGCTCCTTGTTCTCTTCTAAGGCCGCCCGGAGCATTGGGGACGTTGTGTCTAAGGCAGACATGGCGACTTTGGCCAGCTGACGCTTGACTGTTGACTCAAAAGGAGGCCGACCCTGGGAAGTGTGCTACTTTGAGCATCGTGCAGCCGGCGGTCGCAACCATGCAAGATGATGCAACTTGATTCACTTGATGCAACTCAAGGCACAAAAACCCCGAGGAGGTCACCAGCGAGTTGGTCAAGCCATCGATGACCGTCTGCGAGGACAGGGAGGACAGCCGGGCTCACAAGAGAGAGATCGTACACTGCTCTCATGCTCGTTCTTCTTGCGACAGAAGGCTCCAACGAATTGGCTGACTACCGACACTTCGACATGTCGAATACCAGGCCTTACTGCGCGCATCGGACGCGTTGAACTCCATGAGGCTATAGCGGGAGCATCTCGCCTCGATGCGGATTCCTCTTGTGTGGACAACCCTGCATCTTAGATGGTGCCTTCATATCACTGGGGGTGCTGCTACCAGGCAGCAGGTTGTGGTCTTCCCAATCCTGGCGGGTCTCTCAAACGCTTCGCTCTGTGATTGCCGCTGTGCCCATTCCTTCTCCTCCTCCAAGGCAGCAACTAGCATCTGTGCATCTGTCTACTATCTGTCTACTGTAGTGAATTGCCATGGCTGTTGACGACCTTTCACAGCACCGCGATTCCAATGACACGGCAGCGGTGCCCTGGAGGTCCACTGACAAGCACCTGAGGTGACATGCGAATGACTGCTGACAGCTTTCACGAATGGCCAGGTGTTGAAGCCACTTCAGTTCGCCCAGCCCAAGCTTCAGTCTCAGCCGGATGAGCTTCTGGCAGCTCGGGCATTCAGGTTCTCTGGAGCCTCGTTTCAAAGAACAACGCAGGGATTTCTATGCGTCATCTTGCCACTACTTTCGAAAGTATTCCTGAGTCTCGCGGCCGGTTGGAACCTCTTTGTTGGGTCCTAAATGCGAGAAGACCATGATACGACAGAGGCACACACAAAAGAGTTGCCGTACTCTTCCCAGTCGCACGATGCCACATTCTACTCGGGATCGTGTGCAACAGCTATGTTCAGGTAACAGCAAGCAAGCGCACAGCACAACGCGCGTGCACGCGCACACACGCAGATGCATGGCCACAAGTCCCCGCAGACGGTGGGGCTTTTTAATTCCAGATGAAGGGAAAGAGAGGGAGAGAGAGAGACAGAGAGAAATAGATAGACAGATAGATTCAATAGATAGACGATGGATAGATAGATAGATAGATAGAGAGAGAGAGAGAGAGAAAGAGACAGCAAAACGAGGGGGCGTGTGTGCTTCAAAACTCATGAATCGGGTCTGCTCGCCTGAACCATGGTAACAAATCGCCCCGAAGCCATCTTTGCGGAATTGAGAACAATGCAGTCTCCAACTCTCAACGGGCCAAGACACGCAACATCAAGACAAGACTGGATCTACGCAAGTTTTGTCCGATACTCAGGCAGATTCCGGAGCATGCAAGCTCGCATGCGATGTACGGTGTGCTAATGCTCTTTCTTGTTTAGGCTACTGAACGCTCAAGACTGGTGAGCACGGTATCGTTTTCCGCACACACACACACACACACACACACACACCGCTACCGCACCCGGTGAGCACGCCTCCAAGCAAAATCGACACATCAATGTCCATCCCTTGTGTGCACACAGATGGGCTGTAAAACTGTAAAACGAAAGCGTGCATATCAAAGCCAAAGTCCTGCGGTGGAAGTTCCTTCTTCTTCCCGTGGAGGACAACATCATCCCAATCCTTGGCATGCGGCTACGCCAGCCACCGTGTCATCGCCCCCCACCCTTCACCCACCCCGCACCCACCCCCGCCACCCCTCCCCGCTCGAGATGCCCAAACCAAGGACAGTGACTCGACAATACGAAACGTCCTGCTGGGCTTCCCCGCTCGCAACCACTCTGCCAGTTTCCGTACCTCAGGCGAAGGAGCACATTGCATACATTGCCAAGGGCTCAAAGGACCTGGATGGTGTATGACTGTACAATATAGAACAACGCGCAACAGCCGACCGGAAAGCAAGCCAAAGGCCAGCTATCTTGGCCTGGTCGGTGTTTCCCACCACTTCGCCCAGGTGTCGTGGCTTGTACCTGCAGCAGGCACATGCACGTGGTGCACACGCCCAGCATGACGTGGAACGCTTCGAAACCATCAGAAAACTCACTCCCCTCGGACCCAAAAGCTCTGTCGCAAGCTCCCCCGTGAAGGTGAAGGAAACCCAAGTCCACGACCCACGCCTCGATGTCCACGGGGCCTCCCCTGGCAACGCAGACTTCGAGGGCGCCATCGATGACCCGACTTTGTGCTGCTGCTTGTGACGTCTGAGACTCTTCAGACTCCCCAGAGAGAAGCGTGGTTGAAGCATGTTCAGCATGCTGCTTGCAATGTGCTCTGTCGGAGGCATCCCGGGCATCCCAGCTCCTCCCAAATCCTAGAGCCAAAGCTCAAACCGGGGTCAAAGCAATGCCAGGACAGAAGGTGCTGATGTTGGAGACCAGTTTTGAACAGACATGCCAAGAAAAAGGAGCGTTGCTGCTGGTGTGGGGCACCCTTTCCACCATCCATCTGGATGGCTCTGTAAAAAGCGGTGCCCGATTGCACCTCACTCACACATATGCCAGGTTGTTCTTTTTCAAAGCGGCCCGGTGCTGAAACGAGCCCGCCTGTGGATGAACATGTGATGTACCAAGCGCCGCTTGTGGCAGTGTCAACGAAACGGGGAAGACAACGAGGCATAATTTGACCGGAGAAGGCTTTTGCTGAGCACCATGCAGGCACGTAGGTGTCACTGAAAAGAATGAAGTTCCTTGGCTTTTCAAGGCTTGTTTTAAATGATTGCAGGGAAAGAGTCATCTCGAACTATGCCAAGTCTCCCCATCAGGCGGCCAGCACAAAGCTCGGTGGCCACGGCCTCATAAGCATGCTTTCCAGAAATTTTAGTGTTACTGGACTATCTGTACCTGCAAGAGTTGGCTTCGCCATACAGACCTTATTTCATCTCTGCTGCCTCCTTGGCAATCAACTTGGAGTAGTAGGCCTTGACAAAAGCTGCTCCATGCACAGCCAGAGACCAGCATGCGCAGCATGCCCATTGCACTTTTCAGCGAGAGTGAGTGGCCTCGCCGTCATGCTCCATGTCGTGCGGATGGAAGTCATGAGTCGATTCACGAGACCAGGTGGCCTCATGTACCTCCAAGCCACTGCTCGTGAAGACCCTGACTTTGCCTTTGGAATCGGCTGGCGCCCGTGCCTGCCGCTTTCGGCGCTGCAGGACGTTGTACAGCTTGAAGCGAACGTCATAGATCTCCGCATACCTTGGGTGGAAAGCATCCGACATGGGAAGCAAGAGCGACTTGACGAGATGACGGACGACCCGATCTACAGTCGCACCAGGCTCACGCCCCCCTTCTGTTGTCTTTGACCCCTTCCCGATGTTTCAGGTTGTTTCCTGACGGCACACATTTTTTTAGCATGCTGGCGTACCCCTCCGCAGCTGAGATGGCAGCCACTTGGTGGGCATCATTTCAGGGAAGGTCCTGACCGAGGCTACACATGTGGCATCATGCTAGATTCATCTAAGCGTCATTGATAAACCAAGGAAACCTGAACTTGTCAGCTTCGCCAGTCCTGGCATCACCCCCGGTCTTCGTCAAGTAGAAAATCATGTGCTCGATGAGCGGACCGCGGAAGACGTCGTAGTACCTGCACCGAAGATATCTGCAGTCCAACGAGCATCGCCACGCTTGGTACAAGCCCTAAATGCTCTAAGCATGGGCACAGCGGCACAGACAGCTTGCTGGGATACTTTTACAACTGTGACGTGTTTGATGCCCAGGCCGCACTCGAAAGATGGCCGCTGGTACAGCAGCTTGTTGTTCTGCCGCGTGGTTCCGCGGCCTCAGCGCCCATATGAAGCAGCCTGGGATGTCTCGGATGCGTGCTGGAGGGGATCGCTCGGGTACCAAACCATCGAAGACTTCCCAGTTTCGCTTGAGGTCGGCCTTGCAAGGCAAACTGCAGTAAACACGCCAGAAGGAATCACATGTTGGTCGATGGCGGGTTCCCTGCCTTAGTCTTTGCATCATAGTCCTTGCTCTCGGGATCTTCGACGGCGCTCAGCAAGTGGTTGTGGTAGAAATGGTGCTTCTCAACGAAAGCCTGGCACCCCAAGACAACGCCTTCTGCTAAGCCAAGGCTAATCCGGAGTGGAGACAGAGGGAGACACGGAACGTGCCTGCCAATACTGGTCTGCGTCCAACCACTCCGACTGGGAAAGCATGGAGATGGGCGGATTCCTGCAGCAACGAAACATATGGAAGAGCATGCCTTTCAAACAACAAGTGTTGGCAGACTGCACGAAGTCTTGGCAGGGACCTCCATGCAGCCTAAGTCTGAGATGCAAGCTGGAAGGAGATCCAAAGCGCGCGGGCACCATTCTTCAAGATCGTCTCAGACCTCAAAGAGCCCGGAGGCGCTACTCCGCTACTCACACAAGCACAATGCCAGAACTCCCCTTGGCCAGGAGAGTTGGTTTGGGCTTCCCATTAGCCGGGGCCAAGCCCCTGACTTCTCCACAGACTTCTCACAGCTGGTCACAGCTGCGTCGAAGAGCTCCCAGCCTCGGAGGGGATTTGGGGGCTGTTGTCAAATGTGTCAAACCCTGACTCCGTGCCTTCTGTCTGCTTCTTGATGGATGCGGAGTGGTCCTGACCCGCATCACGCTCTAACGATCGAACATGGATCTGCTTCGTGCCCGCAACTGTACACACCCCAAGCGACCTCGAGTACTTTGTCTCAAACCCAGGGACAACACAGAACAATGCGGATCCCGGAGCCATGTACCGGCGCCTCTTTAAGGACCTGCTCCAGCAGGACAGACTGCTGCTCATGGAAGCTCTTCAGGCAGCCGAGGACCTGGCACAGACAAATCTCAAGTCATCTGAAGCAACACAACGCACAGGATGCGCGCGACATGTAAGGGCGAAAGCTCGCTCCCACCTCCTTGTTGCTAATGCGGGAATCCCAGGAAGCCCAGTCGATAGCCTCGGCAGCACGGAACCCATAGAACGGGCTTTGAATGCACGCTGTCACCCCTTGTTCAATGGATTTCAATGGTACTTGTAGCTCTTCTTTGATGGCTCATTGGCTTCTCCTTTTTCTTCGAACTTCTATGGCGCCAGTAACCCCAGGATTGACCAGGGAGCACATTGGCAGCCTCGATGTTAGTCTCAAGACTTTTCGCACGTGAAAGAGATTGAAAGAGCGGAATCGGAAGGATTCATCCGACCATATCCTGCGACTCCGACGTCAATCCGGCATTTGACTCGGACAAAGACACTGTCAGCTCATAATTGTCGAGGTTTATGTCTCTACCCACCATGGCGCAAAAATCTTGCACAAGCAGAGCACCTTGGCAGGAGTACGCACGAAGTAGCTGTTCTGCCGTTATTGCTGGAGCTGTGCTCAGGACGATTGAGCTCAGTGAACAGTAGGTCAACACTAAATAGCTCAGCCCGCATATTCGAATCTTGGCGATGATCTTTTCTTCGGAAAAGCTTTTCAGTGGCCAATGTGGATCGGGGTTCCGGGGAACAGTTCTTCAAACGCTGTTCATTGTCCGAAAAACGACTGTCACCCTACCTTGCTAAGCGGACCTACTGTGGTACAACGACAGGTGCCTGGTCTGCCCTTGAGCAGACTTCCACTTTCGCATCAACCTCTGACCCTGCTCACGGCCCTGAACCCAGACACCCGAAATCCCAGAATCGCTGCGCCACCCCTAAAACGAACTGAAGCCAGCTGCCGCTTGCCGTGTGCCCAAATCCCCACAAGCATCTGACAAAGCAAGTCAAGAGTGCCAAGGCCGTAGCCTTCGGAGTGGCTGTTGTGGATTCCACCAAGGTCGTGACCTCGCGCTCGCGCCGCATACGCTCCAGGCCGCTCCGAGTTTCCATGGGCTTCATATGACTGCCGTGTTTTGGGCTGGGGTGTCCGGATGAATCTGGCAAGCTCCAGCGTTGCCTGGCCGTCGCGCACACGCAGCTTGCGAAACTCCTCCTGGTTCATCTCTCCGACGGCATACTCCTGAACAACGAGATCTGGAGATTTGCCTTTACCCTGTTTCGCACAGATGCTTCTGCGCTCTCGTCTGCGCTGAGGGCGGGCCTGCAGCATGTGCCATCGATCACGACGGGGGAGTGCACGCAGGCTGCTACGAATGCCACGGCGCATCATCCTGGCGACTCCCCCACGCCAACTCAGGCAGAAGGCTCAACTCAACGGACTCAGCGGACTGGGGCCTGGAGGGTGAGGTCAGCGGGCCCAAAACTCTACGCAGCCCAGGGAGAAGGTCGCCCTAGGAGAGGGCGCTGTGAGCCGATGGCGACCAGGTACATTGGACACCAACACCTTGCAGTTCAGAAAGCGGCCTCTGAAACAAGTCTCAAGCATGCGTGCGGCTTAACGGCAGGACTCCTGCCCAACCGCAGTTGTGAGCCAGGAGCTCGCACTGTGAGAAGATCCAAGTTACAGGGATGGCAGCGGCTTGCGGGGGGGGTCCTGCGAGTCCCGGATCTCCATCAGGATCTGAGGCAGCATCCAAGGGATTTGAAAAATGGGTTTAGGTCGTGGCACTGCTGCGTTCAGTTCCGCAGAGTACTTGTGCAAACCTCGCTTTACCACGACTTCAAAGCATACTTCTAAAGGTATGTACCAGACCTTAGGTTGTGGCTGCGCTCCATACGATGCTCTTGACACTGAGGTCTTGGCCCTCGTCATGTCGCTCACAGTCAGCACTCGCGGCTCTCCTGTTCCTGCAGATGTACTTTGCAGACGGTTTGCAGAGACTGGCGCGAGCAGACGATTGGTTCGGAGAGGGAAAGCGGAAAAGGGAACTCTCAGCCCTGGGACTCCGAGAGGACAGCAGGGCGCTCCGTCCAAGCTGGTGGTGGTGTTCTGCCTGCTGAGCCTGAACAAGGGCGAGCTGGTAGTTGGAGCAAGAATCTAAGAAGCTCCCAGCCAACCTACAAACCTGCTCACTTGAACTTCGATTTTGGACATCGAAAAAAGCCGCAAGACCCCCCAACCCAGGATGAAGAAGCAAGCCTCAAAGAGTCGACCCGAGTCTACGCATGCCGAGGACACTGCGTTCTGGCCGTGATCTCGCCCGCAAGTTGACCCTGCGGAAAAAGTTGACCGGCTCGTGAGGACCAGGGAGCCGAGGTTCACTAGCAAGTGCGTACTTGGAGGTTCATGGTGCTTCTTAACACAATAATAACTGTACTTATCACCCAGTTACAACCATGTTAGGGCACTTAAGTGGGCTTATATGTGGGTTATAAGAACAGTTCTAATCGGGTAACAAGTCCATGAACCTCCAAGTACTAAGTGCATGAGTTGGGGGAAACTTGTCGGAAGCCGGACAAGCCACGAGGCTAACACTGCCGCTCTGATTTGACATGCTGCAACGTGGAGGTTCCGCAATCCTGGATATTCAACTATTCAACTGGAATTGTTGAGGGGTTCTCAGGGCCATCATCTGCAGATCGAGGGTGTCAGCCGCTTGCCAGGCTGTCCTTCGGCATGCTCCGTTGCTCCGTTTCGGCTTGGCTGAGTTGGTTGAGTCGATAGATCCGATGCCAGAACCACCCAAGGTGAAGGATCGCCCAAGCCAGATTGAAGGCACCCCACATGCGCCGAGCCTGATCCTCGTCGTGCGGTGTGAGCTCAAACCAGTCAGAGGGGCTCGAGATATTGCCGAAAAGCGGGTGAAAACAGCCGTTGAGAACAAGCCACAACCAGAGGCTGAAAGCTCGCACCTGAAGCCAGTGTGAGTTCATCCACGGGATCAGAGCAACACCATGGCTTTGCAACAGACAGAGTGTACGCTGGCTCTCCAGGAGGGGCGCAAGCAGAACTGCCAAAGTCCAGCCATTCAGAGCCGAGATGTCGAAGAGAAAAAGTGCATTCCATGAAGTGTACAACCACACCCATGAGACAGGAAGGCGGCAGCACATGTCGGCAAAGCGACGGCCAGTCTTGGTCTCCATCAAGCAAACGTACCAGTCCGAAATCCGCGGTCTCAAGTCCTCGTCCGACAGATCAAGACCCTGCAGCTCTGCTTGCATGGCCGCCATGTCATACTTCCGAATCCACTCCGATGGGTACTGAAACAACCCTGCTCCAGGCAAGGGAAGGCATACCACAAGGCAAAGGCCCGTGACGGCGTTCAAGTAGCACTGATGTGTCAGGTCACCAAGCACCCCTTCCAGGATACTGACAGCCAGCGCCATGTATAGCACCACCTGTGGCCACACGGAGAGTCTGAAATTGCGAAATTGGCGCAAAAAGCGACGGACTCCGCTCAAGGGCCAGGCAGCTTCTTCAGGGGCGCTTGCTACGCACATAGATGTCAGAAGTGTGAGAAGTACTGTCCAGGCTGCAACGCTGCAGCTTTTCTCGAAAACAACCAAGTTCATGCGACCCCGACTGTCGGGCAAACCAGAACCACATGCTGAGAAGGCTGCAAATGCTGCAGTTCCCAGTGGGATGAGGAGCACGAATACGGACTTCCAGGGCCGGAAGAGCCAGCCGTGTGCAAGTATCATTGCCAAGGTGAGTAGGGAAACCCGAAACAGAAGCAGCCACCACTCAAACTTTGCATGGCCCCCGTTGCCGTCCTCACTTGACCGTACATGGGGCTCCAGGGTCCCAGACACATTCTTCGAAGGCTGGATGGCGGTTTCAACTTGCAGCAAGGTCAGAATCTCCGGCTGCTGTTCAGCAGACAGCTTGCAACCAGATTGAACCTGGCTTCCGTCTGCATACACGCACGCGATGACAACCAACCAGCGCCATGCTATCATGCATGCAGTGCAGCAGAGGAACTTGTTGACAGCGTCAAACACTTAATGCTTACAGTACATCCTCTTCTAACCAAGCACAAACCCCACACACAAATCCAGGGTGGATTCGGTTCAGTAGCCGCTTGAGGCAGTCGTTTGCTGGGCACACAAAGTGCAACAACACTCGTAAGACAGTGTGGAAGCAAAATCATTCGTCGGCAAAAGAAGGCCTACAAAATCCAGACGACCCAAAAGACATTCGCCATGGTTGAACCTCTTGCCCGCTCCACCCATCCCGGCGAACCCTTCTCTCGAAGTGTTAACCTCTAGCTGTGCCGACAGTAGCTCCATTCCATCCGACTTGTCACAACACATCACGACCTATCACAACAGGTCACAAAAATGTCACGAAACAACCGCCAAGTCGACCCCCCGGTATGCCGAGAAGCAGGCGTCTGACAGGCCCGACATTTGGCGTGAAAGGTCATCTTGCGGGGAGTCGCCCTGACCTGCCGGGGGCTGCGGATGTTTCAAGCAAAAACCACAGACCGTGCTTCACTTTGCCCCCCATGTGAGAGATGCGAGTTTTCAGAAAAAAACTCCCGGCTTCGAGTCTAAGGAAATACCAAGTTTGCCCACAGTGCTTCAGCTTCGGCAAGTTCCAGCTCAGCATCCGACTTAGGTTCTCCGACGTCTGGCGGCGCTTCAAAGCCTGCCAGCACATCGCCATCCAGGCACTATAGTCGAGCTCAGAGTGAGTTCCCGCTGAGTAAAGACCGAGTGGGAGAAAACCTTGTCACAACATGTCGCAACTGACACAACAAACTGCAGGTTTCTTGGATGGGCTTTGGCTTGATGCACCATGCTGCCCTCGCTGCTATGTCCCACCGGCCAACATGTAACATGTCTTTTTCCGCGCAGAGGCCAGAGATGCCTGTACGAAACTCTTGGCTGGTGCCTGTTCAAGCAGCACCCAACTCTGCCAGTATCGCTACGTTGGAGCTTCAAAGAACTAGATGTGGGCGGAGTGCAAAGGAGCTACAGAGGCTTGGAACGTCCCACCTTGCCAGATTATGGAACATAACACGAATCCATGTCGACTCCGTGTGAGCTATGGCCTACGACTCTGGCAGGAGACAGCGGGCTGCGGTGGTGGGTGCAACCTGGGGACTTCGAACTTCTGAGCCCCCTCTTGTTCGGTCATTTTGGCGCAGGAGGCTTCCGTTCGATGCACACTCTTCCATGGAACTTTATGGAACCATCAGAAGACTGTCAAAGCCAGCCACGACACTTCGACCACCGCAATAGATGTAACAGGTGAAAAGTACTGCATACAACAATCACCCAACTAGCCATCGAGGAGGTGTCCCTGTCTGCTCGCTCTGTCAGCTGACAGATGCGCAACTGCTGCCGTCTTTCCATGCCGAAGCTACGCACTAAGCACCGTCCGCCTTGTCCACCTTGTCCACCCTTTCGAAGCCAAAGTCCTCTGTCACCTCTTGAACCTCTCCCTCGCTGTTCCAGCCAAGAAAGGTGAAGTCTTCCTCCGCATCCTGCTTGCATGTCTTAGCTTTGAGGCTCTCGATCTCTTCCACGGCACGAGCATGGTCCTGCTTCAGCTGGTTCCTTTCTTTTGCTGCCGCCTCCAGCTCTGCTTGCAGGCGTCGGTTCTCTGTCTCCACAGTCTTCAAACATGCCGTGGTTTCTGCGATATGGATGCCCTTTGAAGCGAGCTCTTCCTCTTTGGAGCACAGAGCGTCTTTCAAGATGATGATGGTGTCCTTCAGCCTCTTTGCTGCTTCATCAGGCTTCTGCTTGCCTGCCATGTGTTTAAGCGAGTTTTCGAGAACGGAGACTCTTTCTTCTGCTTCGTCCCGTTCACCGGAGTTCATCTGCGACATCTTCTTGGCTTCTGCTTCGTTGGCAGTCGCTTCCCGGAGCTTCTCCTCCAACTCAGACAACCTCTCCTGCGCAGCATCCTTCTTCTTGGCTTCAACTGCCAAGCTTGCGAGTGCTTCCTTGAGGAACTGCTGCAGCTCTGCAATCTTACACGAGTCCTTCTCAGCTTGTGTTTTTGAGGTCTGGAGGGTCACTTCGAGCCCGTCAACCTTCTGGCGCAGTGCCCGAATCTCCTCCATGCCACTGACGAGCTTCGTCTCCAAGGCACCCTGAGAGAACTTGGCCTCTTTGATCTGCCTTTGAAGAGCCTCTTCCTGGCTTCTGTACATCTGACATTGCACAGCAAGCTCCTGATCCGCTTTCAACGCCTTCTCTTCAGCTGCCCACGCTCGCTCCTCCTCTTCAGCCAGCTTTGCTGTGGCAAGCTCCTTTGCCTTTCTGGCCTCGTCGAAGGCTGCGTTGACTTCAAGCAGTTGATGCTCGAGGACTCGCAGCTCCTCCGCGGAAGGAGGTGAGAAGTTGGATGAGGCAACGGAAGCATCATAAGCAACCTCTGCAGCTGTTTCTTTGAGCCCCCGCGTTTCACCGGCCAGCTGCGGAACCTGAGAGCTCTGCAACGTCGGCAACTCCAAAGACAGCATGATTCCTTCGTCGTCGGGCTCCACACGGCGAGCATAGACTTCTGAGACCAGCTCGTGCTCCTCGACATCGTCACCGGCCAACTGAAACGTCACCTTGCTCCAGTCCACGTCCCAGCCGATGTGCTTGGGAAGATTCTTGCGTAAGTCTCCGCAGGTCATGTTCATCGGAATGAGGAGCTTCTTGTCAAGCGCAGGCAAGCCTGGTGCCTCTGCCTGATTGATGAGGACTGGAACACGGTCAGGATGCTTCTTGCGAATCCGCCTTGCTTTCTCTGCCGGGTCATCCTTCCGAGCTGCAGGAATGGACGCCTTGGATTTCTGCTCCGGCGGGACCGCCTCGTTCATCCTGAACTGCTGGGGCCCTCCTGCGTCCTTGTGGGGGACCTCCTGGGAAGCCTCCTTGGCAGCTTCGGCCGCTTCGGCCGCTTCGACCTTGAAGTACATTGCTCCATCCAAAGCCTTGTACTGGGAATCCAGCTCCTTCATCGCCTTTTGCGTTGGCACTTCCAGGGCCTCACCGTTGAGGCTGCCTTTGCATAGCAAGACTTTGCTGGACTTTGTGGCCCACGCACACTTGTCAAGGGCGATGGCAATGAACCCAGCACCTGTTGTGTGGTTCGGCACGATGAGCTTCTCTTGCCGACTCTGGTCGCAGCTGCTCACGCAAATCACAGGAACATGAGCTGGGTAGCGCTTTCGGAGCTTCTCCATCTTGTTGTCCATGGCGTGCTACGAGTGCACCCAAGAAAGGTTCACCAAACGCTTGAACTGCCTTGTGCCAAAATGGCTGTGTGTCTCGAACATCCCGAACAGGCGGTTCGGGCAAGACATCCAAACATCCTACATGTTACCACTGGCCCCTTGGCCAAGTGGCTGTGCCAATCTTGCACTGCCACTGAGACACAAAAAGGAGAGTGTGAGGACACAAGGCCACGCAGAGCAGAAAGGAACAGAATAGAATCTGTATGTATAGATATACATATATACGACAACAATCCAACAAGAAAGCAGCTACAACGGCGACAGCTGCCAAATGCAAGCCTGCAAGGTTTTCGATTGGCGCTCCCGCATTCTCAACATCTTGGAATTCCGGTCGTCTCCCCGGCCTGGGATTGTTGTCAGATGCGGTTGATGGTTCACAGGGTGTGTTCAGGGCTCCTTGTCGTAAACTGTGCGCGTCAACAGGGTTTCAGATGATTGAAGGACTGCACTTGCATCTTGAAAAGCTTGAGGAGGCGTGCGCATGCTCTAGCTGAAAAGACATGAGAGCTTCTCGAAAGACTGGGCCCGCGTCCATTGACATAGATCGATTTGCTCCTGGTAATCTGAGAACTGGCTGTGCTTGGCTCGTCCAAACATGTGCGAAGGAACAGCTAGCATTCCCGAACCAGCCATGAAATTCTTGCTGCTGGCTTCGTCTTTTAGTCTTTGATTGCTTGGCAGCTCCACTCATACCGCCACCTCAACCAATCCGAAGCGCTAGTGCTTAGTAGCTTCACAGCAAGTCATCGCATCTCCTGTCAGAGTCGCCACCCACTGAAGCAAAGGAGGGGACCACACCTCCCAAGCTATAGGACCTCGAGCATTCGAAATTGAGCTATGTTCTTGACTCCAAGTGGTCCCACAGTGCCACGAATACCACCGAGCGCAACATACGTATGGGAGGGTACCTCCACAAAACTAAGCCCATCTCAAAAGTGTAAATCAAGAGGCAGTCGGGGTTAGGCTGGCACGGGGGAGGGGGTGTAGTCCTTCAGCGTAGTCCTTCATTATTGTCCACATGTCATGTGGGGGTTTACGATAACCTAGTACAGACCCCCCATGTTGTCTTTCCGAGCCACTCCTCAGAACAGCGGTCGGAGGCGGCGGATGCCAAGTCCAGCTTCTCGAGCCTGGCCTGGCAGGAGAGGCCTTTGAACCTTTGACCCGCTGAAGGCTTCTTATAAGGGAACACAGAAGGCTACAAAACCACTACTCCCCACTATCATGCGCCTACACAACGCTCCCATCTTCCCCCACTGTCTCTGAACCGCCCCCAAACAACCACACACCACACGGAGATCCCGTCCAAAATGATGGAAAATGGAGCTGCGCTCTCTGTCTCTCTCTCCCTCGCTCTCCCTCCCTCTGTCGCCAGTTGGCCCGGACAGGCTCTGCATGAGTGGCAACAAGGCAAGCACCCACGAACCTGCTGCGAAGAGACCGAAATGCTTGCCCTCGGCGAAGTTGGCATAAAGGCAGCTTCAGCAGTGGTCATTTCAGGGCGAATAGATGCCTTCTTTGCAGCCAAGAAGCGACATCTTGTTCAAATGTCGGCCACCCCAAGGCCCTGCCCCCCATCCAGACGCGAGAAAGCTTGAACAAAGTATAGCTTCGGGCACCCCAAGTCAGTGTCGAAAAGCTTACTGTAGCCGTGGCCTGTTACACCCATGCGAGATTGCATGAGGATGTGACGTCGTCAAGGTCGTGAAGTCTTGTAAGTTAAATGAAGACGGATAGAAGAACCCCCAAACGGAAGCAAGGAACGGCTGTTGCGAGAAACTACCTTCGGGAGTTTCAAGAAGTTAGGGCCTTAGTCCATGAAGGGTGGCACCGGGCGTCGCGGGATGGAATCCACTCTAAGGTGGTGTCACCGAATCTGACTCAAACTCTCGCCCCTTCCTTTGACACTGCACTCACATGGCCCGCCACGCAATGTCCCAATATCCACGCAGCCGAACTCAGCTCCGGTTGCCAGATAGATCTACTGGAGTTGGGTTCTCCCTCAGCATGCAGTGAATTGGCCAGAAACTATCAATGCACAGCAGAATTCTGCTGCTTGCGCTCGCTCACAGCACGTTCGGAGACAGCCACTTACCTGGCCGACACTCTTCGTTGAGTGGCTGCAGATTCCTAGCAAAAGCAGGTCGACAGCACGTTCGACCCTGGAATGCATCGGAGCATGTGAACACCCGTCAGGCTGATCCCACATGCAAACACGCTTGGGCCCGAGCCTCAAACAGGGTCCGGCCTACCGAGTTGGATTGAGGTGCAACTGGCTTCGAACACGCCGGGTCGACTCGCTCTGCTTCAGGCATGCTTAGTTGGGTTCTTGTCAACACCCTTTCAGGCAGGTCGTCTAGAAGTTCCACGGTGCTATTGATTCAAGCTCAAAACATTCGGGAATACACGATGGCTTGCTACTGACTTGATTTCCACAGCCTTTGTGAGATGGCCCGGCCGCGGCCGCTGTGCGAGCAGAGCCTCCAGAAAACACAGCACTTACAAGAGCTACCCCCACCCCCGGCTAGTCGCGATGCTTTTACACCCCTGTCAATTTCCTGATCGATATGGGATTGGAAAAAATGGCCTCCAACCGCCTGAGCGCCTCATTCGGGGCAGGTGGAAGGAGTATGAAAATGAGGTTCAGGGTTCTCTGAAGGTGTTTTTGAGGGTGTTCGAAGGTTCTAATTATCTCCTGCGCTTCCTCGCACCGCTGCCTTTCTCGAGGGCAAGCTTATCCACCAATTCAGGGTTGTGTCCTTAACTCCGTCGGAGAAGACCTGCAACTTTGGCAGATCCTCGACGGTGTTTGTTGTTGCAAACTTCAAAGAGGGGGACTAATGAAGCCTGTAGCCTGTAGCAGGCTTTACTACTTGACATAGGTCGTAAACTGCCAGCTTTCCTCGCCACTCTGCCCGAACTCGCATTCTGCAACGGGGTCGTCCGAGATCCCTGAGAGCATCCAGCACATGCCTCCATGGGCATCGAAATGGACATAGCCCCGGCAGCGTTCCCTGTCGAAGCAGGTGCTTGCACACGACATGGCATCGCCTGAGATGCCCTGGTAGTCCTCAAGGCCGTCGTTCGAACCACCGTGGCTCGGATAGCAGTTCAAGTGAGGGAGGGCAAAGTAAAGGTCGAGCGTGTCCCTGGCCGAGGGTGGGGGAACGTGAATGCTGTCTACGCCGCGATGCCTGACGTAGACAGTAAACTGCCAGCTTTCCGTTCCCTCTTGACCAATCTCACATTCTGAGATTGGGTATCTCGTGATCCACGAAAGCAACCAGCACTGCCCTCCATGTGCATCGAAGTGGACATAGCCCATACAGCCTGGGGTGTTGTAGCAATTGTGGCCGCAGGAGATCGCGGACCCCCGAACACCCTGCTGGCTCTCCATGCCACTGTTCGATGCACCATTCCACATGTAGCAGTTCACATGCGGAAGGGCGAAGTATTCGTCCAGGATCAAGTGCTCGTCATTCCAGGAGTTCTGAAGCATCCCGGTCTTCCCCTCCTGACGATGAAAGAAAACAGACAAAAAGAGAGAGTCTTCTGCCAGACGCTTTCAAAACGAGGGTGAAAGGGATGTCACTTCTTCTGCATCTGTTCCCACAGCCTCCTACTGACATCTCTGAGAAAAGCATCCGCCTTTGGTGCAAGCGCATGCTCCGACTGCGTTCCGGTGTCGTGGACCAGGTCCAAAACCGAGCCATCAACCTCGGGACTGGTTGCGATGTGGGGCGGTATGGGGCTTTCAGGGTTTTCAGGACGTTGATGCATCCCCAAACTTAAATTACAAAGCCGATTGCCTCCGAGTAGCGCCACAAGAGAACGAGCAGGTAGAACCCTTGGCTGAAGCACCGCGATGCACCTGGCACAAGGAGGTCTTGGCCACCGAGACTTGAGGCCTGTGTGGATTTCCGGGGTCTGGGCTTGAAAAGCTACGGCTTGGGGATGCTCAACCTGGGTAAAGTGCAGATGACGCCAACGTCGCATTGCGCTTTAAACAGCTGTGTATGACTCAGACTATGCTAAGAGGACCTCGTCGGGTTCAGCGTTTGGGGCCGGGCACTGCTGCGCACCTCCTTCTGGCAGAAGCTCTCGACGGCTGCTGGAGCGCTGCAATCTGGAAGGTCAGCGATTTCTGCAACCAACTCGATGTTCGCCTCGGACTTTAGGGCTTAGGGCTTGGAGGATTTGCTTCCCTTTCCTCCTGTGCCATTGCACCCTTGTTCGTATTTGCACAAGTCATAAAGTTTATGGGTTTTCGGGGAGGCTGCAGGGGTGGGAGGGAGGGGGGTGGGAGGCGGTGAGGGGAGGGGAGGCGGGTGGGAGGGGAGGCGGGTGGCTACCTCCCCTCCAAAGGTAAACGCTAAACACTGCAACCCGAAAACTCTCCCCAAACTCAAGCCTTACTCCTTTAAAGCCTTGCAAGCCCAAACACGTTCGCGCAAGCCCAAAACCCACAAGACTGTAAGCCCGAAACACTCGCATGCAAAAGCTCTCACAAACCTCACAACTACCCCCTTCACACGGTGCAACCCCAAAACAAAGCTCACGAAAGCAAACGGTACGTTTGTCTACGGTAGGCTTTGGACCGCACGTGTGGATAAAATGCTTTGTTGGTGGCTCCCTGAAGTCTCGAAATCGAAGCCGGGTGAACCCCAAACTTCTGAACAGATCCTTCCACTTCTCGTGGAGGCAGTTACGAAGCCGGCAACTTCTAGTTCAACGGTGCCTTCCAACAAGTTTCGCGTTGTGCGCTCGTTGCAAACAGCCCTGCCGCCTAGGCGAAAGAAGACTCAAAGAGTTGTTTTCCAAAAAAAGTGAAGTAGAGAGAAGAGTGCGCACATTTTGACTTGTCACCTACACTTGGCACACGCCCAAACACATATGCACATGAGTATGCGCGGAACTGATGTATGCATGTGATATTAAGCAAGAGGTTCGTGAGTCTAACGGAAGACCAGTGACGGATCTCTGCTGCAGCATGCAGGTCTCGTCGAACGCAGCCACGAGAGGAAGGAGGGCCAACCACAGCATCATCCTGAATTGGACCGCAGAGGTGTTTGGCTTCAGGTTCTTTGCTTTGCTTTGACGATCATTCTTAACGTTAGGACCATCAACATGCGTTGCCATCATCATCAGCATCACCATCAGCAGTGTCATCCTACTTTGTAAGTCGATGACCCATTGACAGTTTCATGGCCAAGTGGCGCTCCGGAGAATGAGCTTGAGGAACTGCAAGTGCAGCGCGACCGGACCGCTGAAATAGCTGCAGCATTAGCGGAATGGAAGGAATATCGAAAACGAACGAACAGCTATTCGTGCTCTCGTGCTCTCCGTCTTTTCAAGGGAAGAAGCATTGAAAAGCATTGCAGAGCACCGAAAAGCATTTTAGTTTCATGTAATGTTTCATTTAATCCCCCTTTGGGGACCGCTTCGTCGCTTCGGCCTCTGGAGTCTTTGCCGCACCTGGCACTTGCAGAGAGTGTGGCACTGGTTCAATCATCGGTGTGGAATGAAGAGAAAAGTACTCTTTCGAGCGGCTTGGCGAAAAGAGACATGTACTCATTCAATGTACTCTTTTTCTGCACTGCACCTGTTTGTGGACTCACCCCGCGCAAGCCTGGCATTGGTCGTCGAGCACCTTGGCTCGAGCAGGCGTCTTAAGTCCTGCATCTTGCGTCTCGTATCTGTTTTGCCGTCCCGACTGCACCTGACAGGAATTAGGCCTAAGAACTCGGGCTATCGGGCTAAAGACGCAAAGCGTATCAAAGGTTCGTTCACACCAGAAGAAGCGAAAACACGGACGTCAGGCTACAGCTAGAGCCACCAGAGGTGTCGGAAAGGGAGCTAGCGTCCGAGGAGTTGTGTCTGAGATCGTCTGAGCATTCTTTTGTTCGAGGGGGCATCCGATTTGGCATAGCATCATTGGATCGGCGCATGTCTTCCCACATCACAGATGCCCTTGCTGGCGTCTGGAAGTCGGGACCACGTGCTTTCGGGCAGCCTCCTCAGCGTGCTGGTCGGCATCCTGGGGCCTGCGGTCTGTAATCTTCTCAATACAGCAGGCTCTTAAGCGTCGAAAGTCAGAACCATTTCCGAACGAATTTGCAAAGCAAAACATTGTCGAGCCCGCCGTGGCAGCCCCTGATTTGCAACGGCAGCAACGCTTCGGAGAACCCAGCAGTTTTCAAGCAGCAGCCCCTCCTCTGCTCTCAAGAAAACCGCTTGGACAGGATCTCAGTGCTTTGAGGAGACTGGACAACGTAATCTCTACAGAGTGCAGATTTGGGCGTCTTAACACGACACCCCGCGAAGAACTTAAAACTAGGGAGGCTGCTTGACCATGCCACAACAAGTCGAAACGGCACGAAGACGTGACGTCAAAGAGGAGGTCTAAACAGGCCGGATTGATGGGAGCTCACCGTCGCTGTGCGTTTGGCAAGGATTCTTGGGTGGAGGATGGACTTCCCTGGCCCGAGGCATGCCGTTTGGTAAAGGACGAGCTGTTGTGCACGAGAGCGCGTGCTTGCTTCGGATGGCACGTCCGAAGCGAAAATCTTCAGCATCGTGAGATCGACGCACGCGGGGAGTTTCTGCATCGCACACGTCAAGGTCATAGAAACCAGAAGCTGGCATGCTGCCAGATGTGATCCTGCTGGTCCTGCTTCAACCTACTGGTGTGTGCTACACCCGGTTGCGGCAAGCCCTTGCTTTTGCCCGTTGCTGCTCGGTCCTGCCGCAGCGAGTCCCCTGTGCTCAGATCGTTCTTTGCATCTCTCACTGCAGAAGGGCCCGGTTGGCCTAAAGGTTCCATCCAGAAAGGCTTTCATTTCACACTTGCCGGAGGTGCTTTGCGCTCTGTCTCTGATCGAGCGGGGGGGGGGGTGCTTTCATGTCCTTGCCTGAAGGCGTTTCAATAAGCAGTGCGGGTATCCCCATACTGAGGAGCCACTGGTTCCTCATGGATGGTATAGACTTGCAACATCAGATCCTGCAGATCTGGCCTAGCGGGCACAGAGTAAGTGGATCGATGCTAGAATTCATTGAAAGTCTCTATCCAAACCACACCGGTTTGTTTTTTCGGGCTTCGGTCCACCAAATCCGTAGGGAAAACCAAAACGACAAAAACACACAAAAAAAAAAAAAAAAAAATCAAAAAACACTTTTCAGGGACTCTTTGAAATTAGGCCATCTGATGGAGGAGTCCTGAAATAATATCTTTTTTGGAGGGGGTGGGGGGGCTTGTTGCTTTTGAGGTCAACTTCAAAATCGAGACCTCGTGTTATAGCCGCCCCCGAACGCCGTGTTCACGTGTCCCCTTCTGCGCATCCCAGGGACGGACATTCGAAAATGATACGTGGATGTGTCGGCATCGAACTGCAGGTGCCTTTCTCGGTGCGCACGCCAATTTGCCCACTTCAAGATGATCCAGAATGATCTGGCAAAAATTCTGCAAGAAAAAAATTCCCTCTTGTGCTTCCACAGCCCAGTGCCCTTCTGCCTGAGTTGTCTGTCGGTTCTCCCCTGGATGCAGCGGCTTCCTTTGCAGTGTCATATGCTCCCACACCTTGACTCGGATTGATTCGGCTTGCAGACATCCTTGCTGGATCTGATACGCAGCAGATCCAGTGCCGGTGTGTGTGATAGTAGTTGGCGGTGTGTGCAACCAGCAATCCAACATATTGATCCGCAATCGAAGCTTCGATAAAAGCAAGAGACCTGAGAAATTGACCTGTTGGCGTGCTCGCACCACTGCGACTTCCACCAACCTCGGGACATGCAGCGATGGTCTTCCAATCACCATTGACTTGCGAAACTTGCCGCACTGGCAAGCAAGGCCACTTCTGAAAGCAAGCTCTCAGTTCCCCAAGACGTGTCAACACAACACCAGCACTCGGTCGGCCTGCTGATGCCTACTGGCAGCCTACTGGTGTGACCCAGCCCGTGGCTTTCATGGCTTGGCCCTTCTCCGACTTGTCCCAGCAGCAAACCCTCGGAGCCACCTGGTCAAGGGCCCAAAGCCCCGCACATCCCCGCACCCTCCGAAACCCACACCCCCCCTCCTCCCCAACCCCAAACATTGCATGACCAGATGCAACCTGACACCCGAATGTCCGAGGTTTTGAGGTCCGGAGGCAAACTTCAACTCGCTCACAACTATACTTCCCCGCTAAACTTGTCGAATACACCCCCCTCCGAACTCAACATGATCCCACCATTCGCCCCGCTCTAAGCTTAAAAGCTGCTCGAACAGATGTTCTGCAAATGGAACCAGATAACTCTGTGGGTGCGCCTGCTTGAATTCTGAACAAAGTTGCTATTCGATCTGTATTGTGGTTGCTCGGCAGAGGTAGCTTCAGCTTGTTCTGAAAGTTGGGGGCGCGTATGAGCCGAGTCTACCCAATCCAAGCTCCAAAAGGACACGTGGCAACCAGCGTGCAAAAACAACAACCTGACTCTTCCAGGGGACCCTGTTTGACAATGAATATAATGAATGTACCTGCCTTGGACCAGTCCTTCGGAGGTGTCCGGTGGCCAGGCAGACAGCGGCGAGGCGTAAACTGCAAAGAAACAAAGAAAGCGAGAGGAGAGGTGCTGCTTTGTTCGTCTGCTTTGTTTCTCAGGGCTCCGGGAGGCGAGACCATCTTCTCAACCCAACTTTGCAATGCTTTGCATAGTCGTGACAGTCTTTATTCTGCACGCTTCGCAATCTGGTACGACCTTGGGCTTCAGGCTATGAACATGCACCAGTCACACCAGTTTGCTTGCCTGCTTCATGAGAGCACCCATACCCCGCAATGTTGCCATCTGATCATTCCCTATACACCAACCGCCTCAGCAACTCAGTATGATGCGACATGTTCGACAAACTGGTCCACAACGTGGCCACTGGCCGCTCTTCGGCCAATTGGTGAGTCTTTGGTTGCTATGGCAACTTCACCAACAGAAATATGGGAATCACCACCGTCCTTAAGACCGGCATCCCGGATCGTTAACGAGAAATGTACAAGCTGATCCCCATCAAAGATGTCTTGTTCGCAAAGTGCACCAACATCATATCCTCAGGCAAAATCCGATTCTCGGCGATCAAACACCGCAGCTTTGGTGTCAAGAACTGGATGGACTTGTAAGGAACTGAGCTTCAAAGAGCTCTGTATGCAGGATCGCTGAAGGTTGTGAAAGCTTGTGAAAGGTTCTCGAAGTGCTTTGTTGAAAGGCCGGCCTGGCCATGCCTCGCCGAAGGTGGAAGGACACAGCTTGGAGGCGTGAGTCGCCCTGGCAGGATCAGTGTTATGTACATGGGGGGGCCGGATTACGGGGATTTTTGGGGACGACCCCCTGTTTAAGAGAGCCAAAAGAGGCTTAAGAAGGGTTCCCTGTAATAAGGGCCCCCCCTGATCCTACCTCGGATTCTGTCAGCTCGACTCTTGGGAATCGAGACCTCCATGGCTGACATGCTTCCCCTTGCCTCCGTCTGCTTGGGCTCCTTGGGCTCCTTGGCCTTCTTCCGCCGCTCCTGGTCCTGCGGGCCCCAGGATTTCAAGGATCGAGCCAGAATTCGTCGGCACTAGCTCTCGAGATGATGGCGCAACGGTGCAAGTAGCTACGACAAGTTGCAGAATTGGGCGAACCCCAGGCTCCCTTTGCTCCCTTTGCGTCGCTCAGAAAGGTTCTGTATGTTCAAGTTGCACTCAGCACACGCTAACCCCCTGCAAGGACAGTTTCCGCTAGTGGCAGCAGGAAGGGCCATAGCGCAAGGGAACTCGCAAATAACCCCACGACTGTGCTGCGCTCAGTCCTCGAAGGAGCGCACGAAGCCTTCCAGGCGTGGGAAGTCATCGACGCGGGCTGCGCTGGGCAGCCGGGCGAGGAGCAACATGAGGCTTTTGACCTGTTCAGATGTAAGTTCTTCCAAGGACTGCGGCTACCCACATGCAGCTACTCAGCACAAGTACATGTCGACACTGTCGCCAAGCCCGATGTTTCCCCACCTATCTGCCCCACCTCTAGAACCTTCAACACCAAAGTGCAGGCAAGGCGGCCGCCATGGAAGCACGCTTGACGAGGTTGGCCTGCAAGTACCGATGATCCATCGTCCCACAGATCTCCAGGTCCTCGGAGGACGACCCACCTGAGGCTTGGCCGTCGGCTCGGAGACCACGTCACGTTCAAGGGCAAACACGGGGAAGCCCAGACACAACCCGATGCAACCCCAATGCCACGCCTGACATGCGCTCCATGCCTCTCCGCCGGCCAAAAGTGGCATTTCGTTGCCGAACCTGGTTTTCAATATCAGTAGCAGGGTCACTAAGGTTCGGACTTCTGGCTGAACCATTTTATGGCTGAAGCGCTTTTGTGGGATGCTAAGGTTGTTGGGCGCTCACAGTCTGTAGCTGCAACTTACGTGACGTTTGCCACCTATGCCTTTTGCATCCTTTTGCGCGCAAGTTTGTGGCTCCAGCCTCGCTCACGACTTTCAGGCTCGACCCAGGCTTCTTGCGCGGCGCCACTGACCTGACGACCTGGTCCGGCTTTGCCTTTACCAACCCTTGCCTAAAGCCGTTTGTACGGTCCCTTCTCAAGCCTGTGCCCAACCTTTAAGGCCTCGTGTGCAGGGGCATTTGTGCGGCTTTGGGCAGTGCCTTCGTGGGGCGGCAGTCCTTCGCAGCATGGCGGCCTCGTGCGAGGAAGCCAGCAAAACATGAAGGATTTGAAAGATCTCGCCGATCTCTCTTGGACAGCTCCAGGCTTGCAACAGTTTGCTAAAGGGCACCTCTGCAATGCACGCAGCGGTGCTGCAAGCCGAAGGGACAGCGAGCTGAGCACTGTCCTGGCAGGATCGACGTTGCTACAGTTAATGAGAAATCACCAAACAATGTCCCATCGTGCCTGTTTGGTACGGGCCACAAAGAGATTTTCGCTCCTTCTCCTGGGACCATCGGTCCCGTGACTGCCCGGCTTCCTGGCTGCGATTCTGCGTCGTTTAGAGAACCTCGAAGCCTACTTGTAACGATGCATCATGCACATCCAACGCACTGCATCTTGTAGCGATGCATCATGCACATCTTGTCTCTGCATGGCAGATGTTAGCTGTTCATCAAAGCTGCGGTGAAGCTGCATGTGATCCGGCATCTCTCTGCACGGCCAGAGGTTTGATTCGAGAGGGTTCAAGCAAGTCTCCGGCCTGCAAGGTGTCCTGGCAGAACTCCGGGAAGAGCCGGAGGTCGTCGTTCCAGGTGCGGAGAGATGCTGTCGACCCTTCACTGCACTCCATCAGGGCAAGTGCAGGAAGGGGAAACCAACTTAAACTCATAATCCCATCCAAGACTCACAAGAAACTCGTGCATTCACGTTGAGGCGACACCAACAGCATCAAGTATAGCCAGGAAGCCGGATAGGGTAGACGACAGGCCCTGTCCTCCGAAGAAGGCGCCCGAGTCGACGGACGCGATGGAAGCGATGGAAGCCACCTGCACAACTTGCTGCGAGGACTATTTAAGATGTGGGGGAAGCGGGAGGTCTCGAGAAGCTGCAGATGTCTGAGGGTCCGGCGGACGCCGTGTGCCAGGGGGCCCCACCTTCCAGTCCGATCCAGGGCAAGGCAGGGTCCTCAAAGTGTGCAGGAGCATGACTGATCAGAGATTGAGTGTCGGAGAATGTCGGAGAGCAATCAGCAACAGTCCTCTGCCAGGCTCTCCGCCAAGCATGAAAAGGGCTTCTTCCTGAATATGGCGGCTGGGTCAACATCAAATGGTTGACGACCCCAGCTTGACCTTCTGCAGACAAAAACGAGCACATCAGGCCCTTCGTACCAGAGGCCACGTACGGCTGCAACACTTGCCCCTTCTTCCATTTCTGGTGTGTTCCGCAAGAGGAGCCCAAGTTTGCCCCCACGATGGGGAGAATGTAAGCTTGTCTTCGGAGCCCGCGCGTTCCCTTGCCGCTACAACCCCAGCTCAAGTCCTATGACGTCTGCACCTTGCCAACACGCCATACCTGTCGCCTTCAGGAACATCTTCCTGTTGTTGACCCATCCTAAATAGCCTTGACATGGCGACCACTGACGCCAGGAAAGGAGCGAAAGTTAGGCGAGTTTGACATCTGCACCCTCCAGACTGCTGAACCGTTGCAGTGCATGCAGCTTTGGCCAGGGGGCCGAGAGCATGCGATGTCCACGCCGACAAACAATGCTTTAGGCTGCCGTCGAGGCACGGGGTTGCCCGCACTGTCCGCGGCGAAGCCAGGGGGGCCGTAAGCTGACAGGGAATGTCAGTGAGAGACAGTGTGGACAGTGTGGTGCAAAGTGCTTAGAAATCCAGGATGCACAGCGAAGTTCGGCGAAGCCCGGATCCGCCCACCTGCTCCCAAGGTGCGTGCGTCTTCAGCCATTTCCAATCCTTGCTCCGACAGAGGCGACGCAGCTCGGCCACTCGGCGGACTGCCTGGTCGTGCTCCAAGCGGCTCTTGCGGATGCAGTATCATGCAGTCAAAACCCCATTTCAACCCCAAGACTCCTCAGACCCTGATAGACGGTGCCTTTCGACACAATCGCAGCATCTCATGCAGCTGCGCCTGCTCCTGCAAAAGATCACACGGAAATCTTCGTCTCCAGGCCGCTCAAATGCTGGCAAACGCAGCCCACCTGCTGCAGACCCTGCGGAGTTCGCGGGCGCTCTGCGGCCAGGAGCTCCTCCGAAAGCAGCTTTGCAGCCAGTTTCGGATGGGAAAATGGTGCAAGGTCACAGTCGAACACCGCAGAGCAGCCCTCGGCGCCTTGTAGACATCACAGAGACCATCAACGGCACAACGACAGAGATGGTGCAGTCGTTCCAACTCCTGCCAAGTCTCATGCGTGGCTTGCTAAGCAGAGGCTGTCCTTTTCAGGAGCAGATGGCCAGGTAGTCCCCGCAACGAAGGCAAACGGGGATAGGGAGAGGAGGGAAACGGAGAGGAGGGAGGGAAGGAAAAAAAAAATGATGGGAAAAGGAGGTGAAGGAGTGAGAATGATGATGATGATGATGATGATGATGATGAAAGAGAGGTGGTAGAGCACAGCCCATGCACTTGCCAGTAGGCCATGGGCCTTGCAGCCTTACCCTCTGGCTCGGAAGGCGCTTAGAAACCAAGCCGATCGGCTGATTGGCTGATCGTCTGATTGGCTGAGCGGCTGATCGGCTGAGTAGCCGGTCAGCCGACACATCACTGCAGCGGGGGTGGGGGCGAGGATGTGAGGGGTAAATGGGGGGGGGGGGGTGGATTTGGGGGGGGAAAGGATGGGAGGGTGGGGGCCCTCGCAAATTCTACTGCCCCCAAAACTTGCATCCCGATAGCGACATTGAACGCCCGGAATCAACGTGTCGCTTCGGCACTCTTTGCTTCTGGGCCTTTCCTCGCCACCCCGAACCCCAACTTTGCTTGTCTATAGCCACGCCCAGAATTCAAGTATCACTTCTGCACTACAATGATTCTTTGCTTGTGGGCCTTCCCTCGCACATTCAACTGACCCAAAACCCTAAATTTGCATGCCGATAGCGGTACTTCACTGCACGGAATCAGAGTATCGCTTCTGCACTGTAGTGATTGTTTGCTTCTGGGCCGTCCCTCGCCCCGACGCCACGCTTTGGTTGAAATTCTCTGCGCAACACACGCTTTGCAGCCGTCCGTTTGCTGCTCGAGCGGAGTGGGACGAAGCCAGAAGTGCCAGAAGGCTGCTCACAGACGGCGCACTTCGGCGTCGTTTCAGCGAAGTGGAAGCCCTCCTCAATGCGAGGCTCCTTGCCTATCTGGCATGCTCGTTCACAAATACGCAGGCAAAATGCCAGCTGGCTGCGGCTTCCAGGGGTGCGCAACATGATCGAACTCGCGAATGAAGGACAGTTGTCTACGGATAGAGATGTGGGAGGGAGGGAGGGAGAGAAAGAGGGAAAGAGGGAGAGAGGGAGTGTCTGGGTACACAATGCTTAGACAGTAGAAACTGTTCGAGACGTCCAACGGGGAAGTTGTTTGGTAACTCATGGACAGCAGTAGCCAAGTAAAGACGAGCACAAGCAGGCTGGTGGCCATCGTGCTCCTTACCCGGCCATCCGAACGCTGCGCTGTCAGAGAGCTCGTCGCAGCCTGCCTGCAGACGTCACGGACATGAATGCCAATGGCAGGACACCCGCATGCCCTGTGCCTGCAGCTCGAGGAGGCAGTCGCGCATCTCCTGGAAAGACAAGCTGGAGAACGATGAGTCAGCGGCATCCCTACCACCATCGCTACCCCGATCGATGCTGGTCACATGGCTCCAGCTCCAACTGTCTGCGGCGGGCTGCCAGGCCCGTCGCCTCGACTTGGCGCAACTCGACCCCTGGCCTTGCCACATCTGCCGAGGAGACTGCAACAGAAAACTCAAGTTGAGAACGCCAGACACGTTTAACGCAAGCAACATGCTTCACGGCTCCAAACAAGCCGGTTCTTGATACAGTACGCGGTTGTGCAGCTTAAATCTTGCCCGAGAGCTTGCAGCAACACAGAGTCCAATGAGGGTATCAGGCTGGAAGGGTTGAGATGTCCTGTACTCTTAGAGACGTTCCAAAAGATCACATGGCAACTGCAGGTGTGGCGCACGTAGCGGCCCAATGCAGCGCGCATCGGTATCCGTTTTCAGGTGGACAGATTTTCCCTGCTTGCCCCCCGGAATCGCACAAAGTCGGAGACCCTCCGAATTCGGAAGGAACTCTGATCAGGCGTTTGACATCTTCAAGCCATGAACCCTGCAGGTTGCCTGCGAGCAGAGCGCCGCTGGCCAAAGAAGAGAGAACTCTGGGCACACCTGTTCAGGGAATCTCCGGCTGGCAAGACATGCGGCAAATCAACCCACACCTGGGGAGGAAGTGCGATGACTTGGCGGTCTCCAGGGAAACTTGTGAGCTGTTTGGAATCCTCAGTCTTGCAATTGAAGGCTCAACAATGTTTCTGTGAAGCCGAGCCATGCCACGGCTTGGACATGCAGGCAAGTTTCAGATACCTCTTCTCGGACTTCTCTGCATCTGACCCGTCTGAGTTGCTGTCAGCGCTGTCGTTGCTGTAACTGTATGAATCTTCACTGCAGCTCTCATCCTGCGAAGCAAGCAATGAGGGTCACATCTCAGGCACTTCTTAAGCACAAAGACGGTCAGAGGTGTCTGCCTGGCTCTTCTCGCTGTCAAGAGTGCCGTCCCCAGCACGGCTCCCAGCTCCTCGTCGACCTGCACGTCGCCGCCTGGTCTCCTGACTCCAGTCAGAATTCATCAGGCAAAAGGTCTTGCTCGCTCTCACGTTCCTGTTAGCCATACTGCACTTGATGCCCTTAGACATCCCTGTCCTGCGACTTGACGTTCTCAGCAAGCGGACTGTCGTCACTGTCCTCCACTGTCTTGTCTTTCCTCCTTGCACGCCGACGTCGATGTCCATGTGGTGTGATCTCGCAGCGAGAGGGCTGCATGTTGGGCGCACCACATCGTGCAATGAACCTGCTTCCTCACTGTTGACGCCTCTGATATGTGCAGCTCTTCACAGCATCAGCTTGGATTGCCTGCCTCCTGGTCTACCTCCTTCTCGTCGCTGTCCCCACAGCCGCTTTCCTCATGCCCTTTTCTCCTGCGTCGACGTCTGTCGCGCTTGCTGTCCTCACCGCACATCTTTTCGGATACGTAGCACTGCCGTGCAAGCAGGAGATGCCACGAAATGCTAAATGTGCACCATTTCTGTCTGGCCTGCTTGTTCTCGAGCTCATTCTCAAGGTCACCCTTCTGACCATCCTCCTTTCCTCTCCGCTGTTTGCGCCGCGGCCGCGTTTGGTCCTGGCAACACCCCGAAGCCGAGGATGTGTGCATCAAGGTGAATGTCTCTCGGTGTCTGCAGGTGTCATCACCAGATTCAGAGCAGAGTTGGCGCGATCCGTCTCGGTGCTCTCCAAGGGCTCAATCGGGGCCGTCGAAGTCCTGTGCGCTTCACGATCTTCACGGAGTCAGGAAACATTTCCTCAATTCTCCTCAGCCCACGGCCTCGCGCCGAAGATGCTGAGCTGAAGCAGTGGATTGGACCCTGCAGTCGTGAGGTGTAGTCGCGCAGATTGAGCTCTACACCACGCACCCTGCCTGAAGGTCTGCGCCCCTGCCGTGCCTCTCCTGAAAAGGAGTCTCAATGGCTTGAATCCAAAAACACACAGATTGCTCCCTGGCCTTCAGCCATTGAGCTCGTGCCGCCGCCCAGGCCAAAAAGACCGTCTTTCCACGAACTGCTCGCAGTCTCCTTGCAATGGTCACGGAGGCTCTCGAGCATCCCTGTAAGTATCATCCGCAGTGGCTGTGCCTAGACCTGTACAATCCTGTACAATCCTGTACACCTGATTGTTGGCTCCTCTGGCAGGATGCCGCCGAAGCTGGTGGCTCCGTGCCATCCTTGCCCCATTCTGGCATCACGCGAACCTGCCAAGGATCTTTATCCGAATTTGCAAGTTGAAGGGGGATTGCTATTTTCGCGTGCTGGAACACGGAAGTGGGCATGGCCGCCGGCTGGCCTCGTCGCAGGAGATGTCCCACCGTGATGCCCTTTCCTGCGCTGCGCAAAGCAAGCATTTGCAAAGAATCTGGAAGATACCAAGTTACTGTCCCCACCAGTATCCAGGGAGCGGCATCAAGCCAAAGAGACTGTGACGTGAAGTAACGCCCTGTGGTATACAGCCTCTGGGCCCTGCCAAGTCCGTATCCCACATGTAACCAGTCTTTGCTCGTCTCAACCGCCATGTAACTTCGCAAGGTCTCACAATGCGTCACAACGTGTCACCACCCCCCCCCCCCCCCGGCTCAATCCGCTCAAATGGCAGCCTGCATCTGCAGATCTGGCCGATGCGTCCGCTTCCGCTTCAAGGGCACGCTTCATCATCAAGGCGTACTTCACACCCTCAGGGGAATCCAAAGGATCGTCCTATTTAGGAGTTGAAGAAGGCGAGAGGGCTGAGGAAGTTTGATGGGGCTGCAAGTTTGGGATTTCTGGAGCTCTGGAGGAATTGCCTCACGTGGGATCTGGATTTCAGGAGCGTGTGGGAGATTGCCGGACAATGCAGGTCTGAAATGTCAAGTTCATGTCATATAGTGTAGACGCACGAAGCGGCCGAAGGGTTGCAGCTGTTGAGGCCGCATTCTCTAAAAAGCCCGCAGGTATCATCTCGAATCCTATCACTTACCATCCTCGCCATCGCATCTTGACCCGACCCGACATGGCAGCTGATGGCCTTGCGCATGGACACAAAGGCGCTTCGCGCCTTCTCACCGGCCTGACAGACAGACTCTCCATGAATATCCCATACTGCCTCAAGGCAACTTGTACACAGACGGACATCCAGAATCGCGTCAGGTCGGCTGTGAGGGTCTCCGCATTCTCGGCACCCTCAATCCTGGCTCGCTGGTTCTTCTACCCTGCTACACTCACTGACTCACTGGTCTACAGTTCTCGCATAGTCCTGCAAGCTGTGCCCTAATCTGGTGTGACCATCTAGCGGCCGTTAAAACCTACCGGTTCTTCCGCTATTACAACTCCGAGCGTGGGCGAATTCTCGGGATGCAGCGTGGGCGTGGTCTGGTTGATCCCTCCCTGCCCTGCCCACGCCCTGCACCCAGGGAGCCTGATGCGATCCAAGCTCTTCCGTGCCCGGGCAAAAGCTGAGCGGCGAAAGCGGTAGTGGCCTGGCCAGCTGATCTCTGAAAAGATGTTAACATGATCCAAATCCAATCTGGCATCTGCTCATATCCACCTTCATCTTGCTTGCGACGCACGGGGGATGGGGGCGGAGCCTCCGGCGTGTTGAGTGCGTCTTGCTCACCCGAAACACAAGCAATCCAGCAAAGCCCTCCCCGCAGGAAGGCCTGAGCTTTCTTCTTCGTTGCCATCAAGGACACCGTTTCAGAGGCCAAGCCATCAGGATATTGGCTGCTCTCACTGCATGATTTGATGCAGCATCCGAACAAGCAAGCTATCCGACATAATCAGAATATCCGAGGGGTACAGACTTGGTTCAGTGGTGGGGTGGGTTTTGAGTAGTGAGTAGTAGTGGTGTTGCTGCCCCTGCTGAGGGAGTGTAACGTGATTCAAGGATAGCCCAAGGCAATGAATGTAACAACGAAGGTCCACGTCATGCAAAAGTAGGTATGTCGCTTCGCAAAAGGACACAATCACAAACGCTCATGTTCGTCCATTGGACGGGCAGGCTTGCGCCAGCTTCGCAGCGGAAAGCTCAAGAGAATGAGGACTGCTGCTTCAAAGCATCTCTCTCAGCATCTCTTGCAGCACGTGCTCCCAAATACAGCTTGTAAGCATGGATGGCTGTTCGCTCTGGCCTCCACAGCGCTGGCCTTCATCACCACACTCGGCCTCATGCGAGTATCAGGCTTCTGGAACGAAGTCTAAGTGCAGTTGACCAGAACAGCGCTATCGAAGCTCATGTCGTGCTGAGCTACTTTGGCCCATTGGTCTCTTCAAAAAACCTCACAAACGACAACCATGGCTATGACCCGCCAGTTCAGAAGGCACGGCCAGCTTCGGCTCCTACTTTGTGGAGTGCTTTGCAGGCTGAGACAGATGGCGCTTTAGTACCTTATAGTACCCAAAGAACCGGGGAGATGATGTCAACAGTGCAGCTGGACGCCTCGGCATCTGTGTGCGTGTGTGTGGCCTAGGCGGCCTGGGCTGAGAACGAAGCTCGTTGATGTCATGCAGCGGCCTGATCCAGCTTGAGTCAGACGATCAAGAAAATTGACAGTGGCGCATCTCTCTTTCTGGCATCCCTTGCTTTCCTTTCCAGTCATGCTTGAGGCGGAGAACGTCTGTGCCCCATGTGCAGTTCCGCTTCCTTGCCCAGCCGTGCCTGGTCGCTAGACGGGGCAGGCGTCGCAAGTCCTTTGGCCAGCCACGAAATGCAGGCCTGCACCACAGATCCGGGGAGAAGCCCTAACTTTGGGATCTGGAGTGTCGGGATCATGCTGACCCAGACCTGCGCACCTGCATGTTCCTACCTCCCCCCTCCAACAGCACGCTGTCACGGATCGTCCTTCTTTTGTACCAAAGATCCAGCAACGCGCTCTTCTGGTACTCTGATTCCTCGATTTTGCCTTTTCCGTGCGCAGAAAGGGCAAGTACTGGCTGCAGATTTAGCAGGTCCCAGAACCTTAGAGAGTGGTGCTCAGGGGATCTCAGGGGCTTTGTTGGTTGACTTTCTGTCAGCTGATTCTGGGCTGTAGATGAAGTAGCTCCCTGGGAGTTGAGGTGTAAAACCTATTGAAAGACCTGGAGTCCATCAATCAAGGCGTGTTAGGGAGCAGGCGATTGGGGTCCAAAAAACCCAAAGGTTATACATGGTTATAAGTCTTGAGTGGCTTCGAAGTCAAGTTCCCGCATTGGGAGACTCACCGAACCCAAGCTTTCAAGACCCTCTTGTGTTTAAGAGAACTGAATCATGTATGCCGTTGTGATGGATTCCTTGGGTCTTTGAGGCAGCTTGCACCGGAAAAGGGCTTCACACAGACAGCCCACAGCCCGCCGGCCATCGGAAGCCTGAATGCGCCCCAACTTGGCGCCGGGCAAGCTCCGATTCTGCACTTTACATTCACACGTGGGATTCTACATGATTGTCGAGTCGAGCCCTTCCCAAGAACGACTCTTGCGAGCAGCTCAGAAGTTCGGAACAGCCGGACAACTAGACCATCGACATCGTAGATCTGTTGTTGCAAGTCTTGAGACCATGAAAAGTGTTCTGATGCTGCCTGCGGTGCTATCATGCGTCAGGAAAATGCAGACAAAACACTGCACCCTGCACCTTCCCCTTCAGTGCGGCTCGGGGATATGCAGGGTTCACTTTCATGCGGCCGCGGGAGACTCCTCCAAAGCTTTCGCTCACTCTGGACAAAGCGTATATGGCAGGAAACATGAAACTACCCATCATACACCGCATCATGCCCCAACATACCCCAGATCACCACTGGCATCACCTTTTCTTGAGATGCTCCATGCCAGCAGCTTTCACAGCTCTGCCAAAGCTCAATGACAAGGCCACCAAGCCCTCAAAACAAAACCGAAAAACACGAACAAGCATTTAAGCCACTGGAGCCTCGGTGGTAGCTCCCAAAGCACACAGCTATGACAGCAACCACAAAAGCTACCAAAACAATCACAGAAACATGAAGAATGACCTCAGAAACTCTGGCTGAGCCTCCTTGCTTCCCACGACGATCACCACCTCATGGGCTCATGGAGCTCCCTTGTGGCCCGTTTGAGGAAGGCATCTTCACTCACGTTATCCGCTGCTTTGAACAAGGGTCCATATTTGTAGAGAAACATGCAGTGACTTTTTGGTGCAAAGGGGGCGTGCAGGCGTACTCGTGCCGCTCGTGCCTCGACCTCGGGGATGTCGTCGGAGTCGGATGCCGAGCCCGCTGTCGAAGAAGCAACCTGCACCAGATGTCACTGAGTCACCCAGGCTTCGCGAAGCCTAGAACCATCACAGCGCTTGAGAGCATGGGGCCACGAAAGCTAGGCTCCGCTCGTAAAACAGCTATAGGCTATCGCACGGTCCTTCTCTCAGCCCATCGCTGGGGGTATCGACTGACCAACAGGAATGCACGCGCACGCGCACATGCAAGGCTTCATTGACCTACCTGTTTGCCTGACATAGACGATGCAGCGATGCATGATGCAGCGATGCATTGTGCGCGTGCGGTGGCGTTGCAGTTAAGGCTGCCCCCACCTCAACTCCCCGAGATATCGGACCTAAACCAGCAAGCTCGAAAGCTGGCTTCCATGGCTAGTCCAAGCGACACATGCGAGTCTAAGCAAGGGCCTCCACCATGACTTCCTCATCCTTTGACTCTTTGGGTCGTCTATCTCTGCAGCAGAGCTTTCCAGCAATCAATCCTCAGATGCATCAGTCCAGAATCTTCTGCCAGGCAGCGGATCAGATATCAGACATATCAGACAAAGCGAAAGAAGGGTCCAAGGCCATTTGTGCCCAAGTCGCCGATGAATGATGCGGCTATGGTGCTATTCACTCCAGCGGCGACCCAGAGCTGCAAGTTTCGGTCCTCAGCTCCAGCACTACGAGGATCTACGAACCGTTGCACTTGAGCCACTAGGTACAAGTAGCTGAAAGTAGCAAGAAGTAGCAAGAAGTAGCAAGGAGTAGCAAGGAGTAGCAAGAAGTAGCAAGGTTTCTCGAAGCGGCCAGATGTTCATGATGTTCCTCTGCCGAGGATGGCTGCAACGCCAGGAAGGAGCTGAGGTCCCTCAAGGCGTATCAACACACTGAACACACTCCAACGCTTCCCCAGTTTAGTAGTCCCTGGCCGAGGCCCTGGCGCCGGGCTGGAGGTCGTCAGGCCGTGCACAACTTCAGGGAGTTGCACGCAAGAGGCGGGAGCTGGTTGGAGTCTTCAGGTTCGTAAGGCGCAAGCGCTACGAACGAGCTACGAGTATGACATGGGCAGGGGCTTCCAAAACCCGAAGACGCAATGCATGAATTGGAGTCCTACATTGTTACGTTTCAGCTGTGACCCAGCCCAAGCATGCAAATCCCTTTGGAGCTTCCCGTCTTCGAAGGACAGTGCATGTGACCAGTCTGGATGTGTAGGGGTGCACGTAATGTACTCTGAAATCAGCTGCTCATGTACACATGTATCTGCAGCTTCGTCCCACCATGCGCATCACCAAGTCCGTCATGACCAGAAAACAACGAGAGGAACGAGTCGAAGCCGATCACACCTCCGGTGCAGCAAAAGGCCCTATAAAACCTATGACCCCCCATTCGAAGGACAAAGCAGTCATTCTGAAAGGACTCGGCAGCTTCCGGCAGGACCGCACTTCGAAAGATCAAGGCATGCAAACCCAAGTGCCCAAGCACCCTGAGCTGTCTGAAAATGGCCTCAAAGTGCAATTTGACTGCATCTAAGGAACCACAGGATCGGTCCACATCTGCAAGCCCAGCCGGCATGCAGGATTTTCTGGGCTTGTGCGCACCCAGGAAGCTTCTTTGTACGGGCTGGAGAAGCACTCCAACTGCACTGCTCTACTATGCTCTGCAAATGCCGTCTTCCCTGGCTTTACACCTTACATGCACTTCTTGCATGGCAATGCTACCCTTCAAAGCCGTTGCTTCATCTGTCATATATGTCAAACAGTCAGACAGCTTTGGGCCATGTCGGTGCATGCCGATGCTCAAAGCGCAGTTTGACAACAGAGTGGTCTCTAACACATCTTTAAGCACCATCAGTTGTCATCGTGTCTCCCCATCCCTCCCCGTTCTCTCCACAGGCCTACCCATAGGGAGGCGGGGGACGCGGAGAGCGGCAGCCAGTTCGGCCAAGACCTGCTTGTAAGAGGCGCGAGGCGTGGTTTAAATTGTCCCCAACCTGCTGTAACGACAAACAGCTTTGGAGTCAAAGAGGTTGAACCAATCTTCTCACAACAAAGTCTCGAAATCTCTTCACGCAGAAGTCAAAACGTCATCACAGTAAAGACGTTCTTGAACCGCTTAGGGTTGGAGGCGAAGCCTCGCTCTGAAGTTTGGTCAGACCAGCGTAGAGCACATCCAGCCAAGGACCGACATGGGGGTCCTCGAGGAGACGTGCTTTGAGATGTGCAACGATACGCGAACACGCCCATGACTCTTTGACTGCAGAGACTTCCCCAGTGAACCGTCACACCAGCACCGTGTTGGCAGACCGAGCTCTTCCTGCGTTTGCACTTTGGGCGGATGGCGTGACTCAACCTCGCCGCAGGTCTCAAGCCATCGAGGAATGCCAAGAACGAACTCAACCCCCCACATCCACAGTGGAGGGAATAGCTGACGCAAGAAACCGAGCTCGTGGCATCGACGATCAACCAATAAAGGTCGCGCCTCTGCAATGCGTCCATACCATTGCAATATGGATACATGTGCATCTGCATTTCTAATAGCGACAATATGCATTGACATTACTTGACATTACATTCTCATTGACATAAACAAACAGTACTGACACACGAACTGCACGCCCCTTGAACGGTCGTGCGTTCTACTGCAACGCGTTCTGAAATACACGGCAACCTATACCCGCCTGAGTTGCAGCTTTGCTTGTACCACTCGTGTTGCCAGGGCGCGCCTGTGAAAGAACGGAGTGGAACATGCAAAGTATCGCATATGATGTCATGCGATGGGCTCTGAAAGCTTCTGCGATCGCAGGACTGGACGAGCTGTGCGCGCTCGCTGAAACATGTGCCCGCCTGAGCTTGCAGCCCTGCCACAGCGCCGCCACCCGGCTTTGGGGCTCAGCACCTCACAAAACCACCACCATGATGCAGATTCGCAATACAGGTCAGGACTTGGCTCGGTGCCAATGTTGCACAGATGCACGGAGGTCACACCCTCACCGGGGTCACCTGAGGTCGAACCGAGACAGCACTACTGGAACTACTGGAAGAACGAGATGCACCGCCACCCCCGGCCTGCGCAGTCATGTGGAGGCAGAGTGCCTTCGAGCCTCCCAGGTGCCGAAACTCCCTGCGAGGCACTGCAAGGCATCGCCAAAGAAAAATGCAGATCTGCCTGCTTGCAGCTGGCGAGGCTTCCCTGAGAGAAGTCGCCTGCACCTCACATCAAGGCCACGCCCCGCGCATCTTAAAGCCCCCCCCCCTGCGAAATGTCCCTTCAAGTCCTCAACTCGGTTCGATGCTGGAGCTGTTCTTCCAGCTCCAGCTTCCGGCCATCCAGCCCAAGCCTGCTAAACTAAGCAGCTGAAGCAGCTGAAGCTGAAGCGGCTGGCTGACGGACGTGCACAAGCATTTTCTTGCTTTTTTTGCAAGTGGAGACTCTCTTGGCAAGTAAGACTCATGACAGAAGCCTCTTGTGGGCTTAGTGGCCCTTGCGTCCAAAAGACTGGATGCTTGCCAAGTCCAATACTCAAATATAAGCAGTCTGAGTGATGGCATAACCAAAAGGCTTCGGCACATCAACAGGATACAAGTAGCCTGGAACAAAAGTCTTGTTTTGAAACTCCCCAAACATCTCGTACACTTCTCGCCTGCACTGCTTCAGACCATTCTGGAAGCTGGCCACAGCAGTGTTGAGCAAGGTACTGGTGGGGTACGGTCCATCACCAAGTTCTGGCGCTCCCGCTGTGAACCCAGAAGCCGTGCCATAAATCAGTATCATCAATTCGTTCACTGTTGCGGGCACTGTTGGAAAGCACAGCTCCACGATGGTCCAAAAGCCAAACACAGGTTTCCTCCTGAGGTGTGGAAGGAATGGCTCAGTAGTGGTGAAACCAGCCAATGGCGTAAAGAATTCACGTGTGAGGTACATGTGCGAGTGGCAAATGCCAGCCACAAAAAGGAAGTTCCTTACCAGAGCCTCCAACCCTTCTGCAGTCGTCACATTCAAAGAACTCTCAGGAGTCCATATGCCAGTTGCTTCCAACTCTTGCTGCAAATTCTGCAGGACTGATTGCTCAGAAGCCTCATTGACGGCTTGCTTCGCCACAAAGCCCGCAAAACTGGAGATGGGTGCAATGAAGGAAGCGGATCCGCCTGCCCACCACTCGGGGCTGTCTTCACTCATGCCCAAGATGTCCAGGGGTGCGGTGTTCAAGTAATACTGGCTCATCTCTCTTGTCACAGCCCAGACCGCCGTGATGTTGCACGGCCAGACCGTGCCGGAGAAGGCCGAGCCATGGGAGGAGTGCAAGATCGCGGCCTGCTCGAAGAGCGCGAAGATGGTCTGAAGGGTGTTTGGGTTCACAGCTCGGCCCAACGAAGTGCCAGCTGGAACGGCTTTCTTGATGGCTGAGGTGACCACGCCCGCAAAGAGGTGGATGCCTGTGTGATAGCACTCTACCACGAAGAAGGCCAGAGCGTACAGCGTCACCTTGGCAAGCGTCCACTGTGCACCATCCTGAGGTGAGAACCGCATCATGCCGGAAGACTCAGGAACTTGAACCTCGACCGCCGTCAGCTCCAGGCTTCCACTTCCTGCACGGAAGTGGCCAATGGCTCTTAGCAGGCTGGCGGGTGCCAGCGCAACAGCCTTCCGCTTCATCACCTGGACGGGAGAAGAGCCAGTCTCTGCACCTGTCAAGTCTAGTATCCAGGCATCCCCAGACCTCGCAGAAAACTCCAGCATGCAGGCCAGAAATGTGTTGCCGACCAGTTGCCCTGCAAAACGGTCGTCTTGCCAATTGTCTCCGTAACCCTGCACAAATTCCACCTTTGGTCCTGCTTGATGACTTATTCGAGCAGCGCTCTTCGTGTAGACGTCGTGGGCAATCGCCATCGGCGTGATTTGTACAAGACCGTTGAGGCTGCAAAGAGCGCGATGCGAACGTCCAGGTCTGCTTGCCATCGAATCAGAAAGGTATACTCGTCCAACGTGTAGGGCAAATACGTTTCCGCGCTTTCGAAGTCCGGGCTCAAGATAGGCCAGTAGCTGGTGAAACCGAAGTCCGTGGATGGCAAGAAGCTAAAATTATTCATCTCAACCATGTTCAACGGAAAGGTATTGACTGTAGAAGTGTAGAGTTCCGCCACTGCACAAGCTTTCTGAAATGCCCGGACGAAGGATGAAACGATGTTCCAGGATATCTGCTCCACTTTGGGAAGCTCCATGGAAGTGTCCAGGAAAGTCGGTTTTCTCTTCTGGCGTATCTCGTCAATCTCGCCCTCGAGCGGCTGCCAATGTGAGAGTTGAAAGAGCGAGGATTCGGCAATTTCGGCAGGGTCCGTCGAGGTCGCTCCTGCACTTGCTTCGGTCGGCAGTGCACAGTCGGCAATTGAGCCGACTGCCATGGAGAACACGAGCGTCCAGAACATGAGCATCGACCCTGCGAACTACACCTGAAGCTTGCAAGCTGGTAAAGGCACTGCAGGCACATGCACACGCTGCTTACTGTCCGACCCTCCGACCCCCAAGAGCAAAAGGGAGAGCGCCTTCAGTCTCGATCTCCAGGCTGTCTGAATTTTCTCACAACTGCCTCAGAATGGCGCCAGTTGCAGCTAGTTGCGGCTACTTACTCCAACTGCCAGGGCTGCCCAAGAATGGTTATTTGCTTGAAACTGGCTTCAAGCGCAAGTCCGTAGGCACCCCTGCAGCTTGTACAATCCAAAAGCATTCTAAGAAGCTGGCGCCACAGCAACCTCGCTTTTCGAAGCTGCTCAGGCAGTCGCCGCCTTCAGCACCGACCGTCCACACAGGGAGTTGAAAGGTCTGGACATGTTTTCAAATGTCTGGGTCGGCAGCCGCCCGAGGGCCCAGCGCCACCAACGGCTGATCCGGATGGCCTGAGCACCCGAGACCAGAGCAGAAAGAACCCTCCCGGCATACGATGTGCAAACTGCAAACTTGCATCCTGCATCTTCAGCACACTGAGAAAACCTGTGCTGCGAGCAAAAAGCAGAAAAAAAATACTTAGATAAAAACCGACGATGAGAACCCATAAAATATTGCCCAATTATCGAATGGCTGTCATATCTGTCATTACCTCCAGAGCCCGAAACCTCGTTCACCACACCACACTGCACCCCACCACACCAGGATCAGCATACATGCGCAATGTTTGCTTGCGGCCAATGCCTGGGAGGCACGCCCCTGCTGTGCGAACATGGGGCTACGCGAGTTTTGCTACAGGGCAACATACACGGTTGTGCTGCGTATACAGGAGTGGGGTGGTCTGCAGCATGCTTCTCTTTTTGTTCACTGCATCATGCAGCAGATACATCTCCTTCTCTTCCACACGGTGTGCCACAAGGGCTTCTCTCACAACCCTGTCAACATAATCGCTGGAAAGCTTGAAATCATAGATGATCGGGCCCAAGTCAACAGGATAGATACGGGCATGTCGCAGGCAAGCCGCCAGAAGCATATCCTCGATTGCCTCAAGCCGGACATCCAGGAGCTGCTTCATGCAACGCCTGAGGCCAGGCACTGCGCTTTGCAGAGCCTTGCGGCTCAGAACATAACCGAGCCCGTGCGCGAATTCGGTCCACTTCTCATACGCTGGGCCATGTGCTAGGGTCACCTGCCCTGCGTAAATGCTTGCCGAAGCATTTGCCTCACGAAGGGTCTCCAACAGTCTTGGCACGTGCACATAAGCATCCATGTCCGCCTTCATGAAGAACTTGCAGTCCTCTTGGGCCATAGGGATGACATGCGTTTTGCTGTGCTAACTGGCACAAGCCAATGTGTTGATTCAATTACTCAACCAAAACCTTCACAAGAATGCAGCCGTGTCAAAACTGATGCAAACAAATGCGAGAGTCAGATGAGTGGTACAGCGCAAGGGTCAGCCACATGTAGATGAAGCGCAGGGCATTGAACTTGGGGTGTCGGATGTCCACATCTCCCCTCAATGACAAGGTGGCATTGGCCCAGCTTGCAAAAAGGGGGCGGCGGCTGTAGAGAAGCGCAAGGACAGGCCCCGGAGATTCCTTATCCGACTCTGAGAAAAGGTAGGGCTTGGCCCACGTTTGGACGGCAGACACTGCACGGTCCACCTGCTTGGGAGTGGCATCTGTGGCCGGCATCAGGATGCACAGCAGCCTGCGCCCGCGACCAGCACGCAACCTCTCCGCAGCAGGACCTGTCGGTTGAGAAGGCGCCAAGAGCTCATGCTTTAGCACCGAGAGCCCCAGCTCTGTTTGTGAGACGGCCACCTTCAATGGGCATCGGGCTATGCTTCGGGCAACTCGGTAGCTCCATGGCGGTGCTAAAGCCAGAGGCTCCGCCAGGGATTGCACGAAACACCCTACCTCGTTTCGAACGATGTCACGTGCAGGATCCTCCAGGGGACCCAACAAACGCACGCGGCGGTGAATCTCCAACAGGTTCGCAGTGGTCTTTGCCGCGACGACCAGAACACAGTGCCCTGAAGGATGCAACTTGCGAAGTCGATGGATGGTGGAGCTGCGTGGCTCGTCTGGGAGCGCATGCATCAGCACCTCCTGCTCAGGGTCGCCCAGGCGCTGCAACATCAAACGCTGCTGCTGCCACAAACAGAGTGACATGTAGAATCCTGAGGGCCAATTCCATCCAAAGCCGTAAGCATCATCGCTGCCGGAGTAGTAGTCTGCACACTTCATGATCCATTCAGACGGCAAACTCAGCAATAACTGTCGACTGAGGATGTAGCCAGTAGCTTCATCTGCCAGAGCAACTCGCGCTTCTCCAATCATGGGGCTCACGCCATAGTACTCCGGGCGCAGGCCCTTAACGCAGCTCAACCTCTGCGCGACTCGTTTGACATTGACATAGCTTGTCCCATCCACATGCATGAGCCAGTAGCAGCTCTCTAGCCAGGGAGTGAGGGAGCCGGAGGATCGGTTGGAGTGCGCCAGCAGCAGCTTCTCACGCAGCGCAGACCAGAGGCTCAGCGCCCGGAAGTGGGGGCGATCATCGTTCAAGCCCAGTGTCGGGTCCAGGTGGAGCCACAAACCGAGCCCACCTGGCCTCCTGGAACAATTGGAATCATTGGAACAGCCTTCTTCGTAGTCTTCAATGTCTGAGATGGCTCCTGCGTGTCCCGTGTTCCCGCCCCTGTGCCCTCTGAGGTGAACAAAGACCGTCCTCTCCGTGGCCCAGGTTTGCTGAATCAAGCCTTCCCAAGAACTTTGCCGAGCCCCGAACACAAATACGCACAGCTCATGCACACTCATTCCGGTAGGCGGTCGCCATCATGTCCGCAACTCCCCAACTGCCCCCTCGCACTTGAGATGGCTCCACTTAGCAGAAAATGCTGCGTTACAGTGCTTTTGCAGTGGAAGCAGCGATGGTGAGAGGGTGAGAGGGTGAGAGGGTGAGAGGGTGAGAGGGTGAGAGGAGGAAAACGAGGTCGGGCCTGGGATGCCAGAATTCTTCAGAGTGCCTTTAGCACGTTCCTGGCACATTCCTTACATTTCCTTAGCACTAACTCACTAAGTCACTAAGTCACTAAGTCACTAAGTCACTAAGTCACTAAGTTACTAAGTCAGTCACGAAGTCACTAAATCACTACGTCACGAAGTCACTACCTTCTTTACGCACTGCCCGAGCTTCCAAGCTGAAAGCTCCCGGTGCTGCAATTGGAGAAGTTCCAGCTCCGCACCAAAGCCTTTGGCATCGGCTAGAACCGCTGCGACAGCTCCCAAGGATGCCACACAAGCATTTCCGTATGACATGCACAGGCCTGCGGGCCAAGAACATGCGGCCATTGCGCGCTACTTTGGAAGTCAGAAAAGGGCGGGTTCATGAAGACTGAGATTGCTGGTCTGCTCCGAGGGCTTAGGGTTGACTGTGGATGTCCGATCTCTTCTTGACACTTGAGCAGACACGATTATGCACAAATCAAGCGAGGAGGACTGTAATATTCAGAAAACGGAAAGTTTGAATTCGGTCCATTGCCTGTTTTATGCTGCCGGCATGCTGTACGATTGCCCGGCACAGAGAAAGCCTTCATTCCTCTGCATCCCGAGATGGACTACCATTGGGGCAAAACCACAAAGCTGGTCTGTACAAAATGCGCAGCTTCACTGTGCTTTCGCCGTCGAAAACGCCCCCGCTATAAATCATCCGGTTCAGACAACTCACTGTCCGACGGTGGAGCGATGCGCTTCACTTGCTTGAACACCACGGAAACCTAGAACACACTGGGCTCCAAGTTCCAATGATGAGGAAACGGATCGAGGATTCCACCAAGTTTTGCAGCCTGCCTCATCAGGGAGCATGGCCGCAAGGGTGTGATCCGCAAGGAGGTCACCTGCGAAAAGAAGTTCATGATGCCTCCGCCCCCTGCTTTTGGTTCCAAGACATGATGATCACAGCATGCCATGGAACATGCTTAGCACCTTGCCTCCAGCAAAGACTTGCGCATCCCGGCGGTGACCAGGGTCGACAGCCGGCATCTGCTGGGCGACCTGCTTCAAGAGGGCCTGCTTCGCCGAGAAGAGGGTCCTCAGCATTGAGGATTTCCGCTGTGAAAAAAGGTGTCTTCATCATGGGCTGGTCATGAAGCAATGCTGCAAGCTACATTAAACATCAGCAAAAGACAGAATGATGCAGGTCAACCCAAAAATGAAGATCAGGCGAAGCTTACGAAGCTCCAAACGAGCATCTGCTTGGGCTGCAATATCAGCTCGACAGCCTGCATGGCAAGTATGGTCATGAATGCGCAAGTCTTGCAAAAAAACCTGCAGCAATTGACACCATAACACCAACATCAGGCTCTAGCGAAAGCCATGAAGAGACCGGCGAAACTTAGGCAACAACGCTTGGCAAAATCTCCATGCCACAGGCAACATGCAGCGAAACTGGCACTGGCCTCACCAGTAAGGGCTCGGAAAGCCACTCGTCGAGCTGCACCACGTCTGGATGCAAAGCTGCGGAGAAGCTCGGCCCAAAGCTCCTGAGTTGCAGAACCGTAGTCCAAACATTGCTACACGGCATCCTTCTCGGAGCATGCTGTTTGCCAACACAATCCATGCACTCAAGATGTATCTTTCAAGATGAAGGCGACTGGGAAAACATTGCCGAACACAAAAATTCTGCAGCGTCCTTGCCCTCTATCTTCAAGAATCGGCCAACAGCCTCGTTCCTGTCGTCAAGCGTCGGCAGCTGCAACCGCAGCAATAAATTCACACTGTAAATATAAATTACATGTGCAAAAGTAGGACAGTGGGATGAAAAAAGCGTTCATGTCATGTTCGCAGGGTTGTATGACAAACACAAAAACATGCTCTAGCCTTTGGCAATCGTCTAAGTTGTCGAGAAAATGCTGCACATCTTCTGCGCAAAGCTCGGCCGCTGCATGCGTCATAATTGAGTCCGACAATGTGGTTGTTTGCAAACTGTTCCACCGCAGCAAAAAAAACAAGAAAAGTGTTCTTCGTGAGCAGTTCGCCTTCCACAACATTCGTACACAAGCCAAATAAAATTGCGGGCCATGTTGCACTGGAACGCTCAAAAATCTGAGCCAAACCACATGCACGATTGGGGACCGTGCGACTGCGACATAGATGCAGCGTCACATGCACCAGCCGCTCCAACAAGCTCTCGCTAAAGAAAAATGATGAATCGTGACAGTGACAACTGGTGATGAACGTTTCCTGCGCTGTGCAAAACAAAGTGTCCAGCCGAACCGACGTGAAAAGAAATCAAACTCAGTTCTGAAAATGGAGGCCATGAACAACTGAAACCAACGATCATATAATATGTAAACAATATGGCCCCGAACTACTTGACCTCTGACGCTGGGCCAACCGTTAATCTTTTAGGACCATGCCCACGGCAGTGCGGAGTCTGCCCAGGCTTCAGGTTCACGATTTCACCTGCTGCTCCCAATTCCCGAGAGCCCACAGGCTTCAGGTTCGCGATTTTTGATCCTAAGCCCTCCTACACCCAAAACGCAGGTCAACACGCAGAGTTGCACTCCCAGTTCCATTCTTACGACGACGATGACTTCCGCTGCGACTATACGACCACCACTACGACTACCACTGCCGCGACGAACACTGCTGCTGCTGCTGCTGCTGCTGCTGCTGCTGCTGCTGCTGCTGCTGCTGCTGCTGCTCCTCCTCCTCCTCCTTCTCCTCCTCCTACTACTACTACTACTACTACTACCACTACTACTACTACTACTACTACTACTACTACTACTACTACTACTACTACTACTACTACTACTACTACTACTACTACTACTACTCCTACTACTCCTACTGCTACTACTACTACTACTACTACTACTACTACTACTACTACTACTCCTACTACTACTGCTACTACTACTACTACTACTACTACACTACTACTACTACTACTACTACTACTACTACTACTACTACTACTACTACTACTACTACTACTACTACTACTACTACTACTACTACTACTACTACTACTACTACTACTAACTACTACACTACTACTACTACTACTACTACTACTACTACTACTACTACTACTACTAACTACTACTACTACTACGACTACTACTACTACTACTACTACTACTACTACTACTACTACTACTACTACTACTACTACTACTACTACTACTACTACTACTACTACTACTACTACTACTACTACTACTACTACTACTACTAACTACTACTACTACTACTACTACTACTACTACTACTACTACTACTACTCTACTCCTACTACTACTACTACTACTACTACTACTACTACTACTACTACTACTAACACTACTCTACCTACTACTCTACTACTACTACTACTACTAACTACTACTACTACTACTACTACTACTGCTACTACTACTATCCTGCTGCTACTACTACTACGGCTACTACTACTACTACTACTACTACAACGACTACTACTACTACTACTACTACTACTACTACTACTACTACTACTACTACTACTGCTACTACTACTACTACTACTACTACTACTACTACTACTACTACTACTACTACTACTGCTACTTCTGCTACTACTGCTACTACTACTACTACTACTACTACTACTACTACTACTACTACTACTACTACTACTACTACTACTACTACTACTACTACTACTACTACTACTGCTACTACTCCTACTACTATGAGTGCAGTCAAGTGGTTTAGATCCGTCGGCATGTTTGGGTCTGAGCCTGTTGTGATCAGTTTGCGTTCAGATGGTGAACGCATTGGGACCGTGAGAGAGCTTGTGCAGCTGGTGCAGTTGGAGAAGGCAGGTTTGAGCGTGTCTGGACCAGCAATGCCATGTTGCTACAGCAGGTATTTGCTACAAGATGGCAGCAGCTTGACGCCCGAACAAGAATTAAGACAGAAGGCCATCACCTTACACTGTGTTTGGTGCCACTGTCTTGGCTGTACCGCTACCATCGTTGCGGAACCGAGTGACCGGAAGGGAGCGTATCTTGACCTGAAGTCGGATCAGAGTGCATTGGGCACGCGTTCAGACCAATGACGGCCAGCTCAGGGTGATAAGATCGCCAAAAGTTCACATGGTGGATGAGATTTGAGATGGCCAGATTTTGGCACATCAAACCTGATGGAGGCAATCGTATGCTGTCACGTGTTCTCCTTGCCTCCGTCGATGTTGTTCAGGGCTTCCGCTTTGTCTGATGCGCAAAGAACACCAGCCGCGCTTACACGAGGAGAATGCGAACCACAGTTCTTCCAAAGAGAGTGCGTCCAGTTCTTGCGCCGTCCTTGGAATTTCAGGGCATCTATGACAGTGTTCCTCCGCAAGGCACAACCGACGTGAAAAAGCCTTGTCCTTTTTGGCCGGCTGGTGCAGCGTGCGCCTGACAGCACGATAACAACCGTCTGCGCCATAAAGGATGAAAAAGAAGCACAACGGATGATCTGAAGAATGCCTGTGCTGCAACAGTGTTTGGTTGAAGATCTTCTGCAGATTGCTTCTGTGCTTTTCGGCTCAGAAGGGCGGGAACATGGCCCAAAAGCAGCCCTCGATCTTAGCTGGAGATTGGAAGATTGCCTTTTGTGGCTTGGGATCGCCAAACAGACGCGACGCTGGAATCAGGACTTCAAAACCAACTCTATTTAGTTTAGCCCAGAATGTAACCTAGAGGCAAAGAAGCAGCGGGATACTTCGGAAAAGAGCCATGGAAGGGTGGGAAAGTAGGAATAATGGAACGGATGCGTGAAAAAACGAAGGTCCCTCTGGTACCTTTTCCCTTGAAAGCACGAACCCTGACCTCTCACACAAGTGCGGACAGCTCTCTCTTTTTCACAGTCAGAGCCACTTGAGCCAAAAGTCACGAAGTGCACAAACTAAACGAATTCTCTCTTGTGAGCTTAAACTCAGCTTCAGAACGAAGTTCCTACACACTGCACACTCACTTTAAATAGCGTATTGGGCAAAAACACTCTCGTATGATTTCCTTGGAAATCAACGAGGCATAAACCATCGAGGATGGGATCACACGGATTCCCAATCACTCCGAAGCAAAACAAACCTATACAAGCTGATCCAAAACATGACAAAAACATCACTGATCAGCCACAATCTTCCACCCCCCGCATTTTGCTGAGGGTTCATGTCAAAGATCTGAAGTCCAAGCCCAGCTCGGCACTTCAACACTAAGGGGATGCCCTGGCCACATTCCCTTGGTGCGTACTCGCCACCAAACGAAACAAACAACACACCAGTCGATCTCTGACATCAAACTTAAAACTCATGCAAGATCCCACCATCAGGCAGGTTGTCCTGGGTCCACATCACTGGTAACCCAAGAGTTCGTTGTCCAAACACGTGAAAAACGAATTAAACTTGCATCCACCTGCACTGAAAAACGAATTAAACTTGCATCCACCTGCACTGGGGCAGGGTTGTCTTGGAACGAATCCAAGAGTTCGTGGTGACAAACACGTGAAAACGAATTAATGCAAGCTTCAGATGTTTCCCACTCAGCACTCGACCTTGTCGTGGTACTCCCCCTCAGTCTCGCATCTTCCAGGTCACCAAACTCACCAACTAGCATCGGCTAGCTGATCCTTCAAGAAAAGATTGGCTTCATAGTTTCGCTTCTTCCAGCGTACCATCAGCCAAAAACGTCTTCAGAGGTGGCAATCAGACGCCTTGCAGAAGGGGCTATAGAGTCCCTCGTTGAGTTTCATCATCATTTTGCCTCCTCTTTGCAAACTTCTCATGCACTGAAACAAGGGCTCACACTAACCAGAAAAATCGCGGGCGCTCCATGGCGGCAACGCGGCCATGGCTTCCAAAAAAATGGCTGCGGGTTTCACTCACCCACCCAACCACTGAGATCACTTAGCATCTCAGTTCATTCTTCATCCTCTTCGCCCTTCTTCTCGCCCGCTCCAGTTGACTCCATCAACTTGGCGCGGCGCTCCTTGGCGGCTTCCTTCATCTCCGCCAACTCAGCCGTCCTCGTTTCCATCATCTCATCCTGCGAAGATCGGCTAGGCTCAGCTGGCGTCTCCGCAGGCCTCTCAGTTGGCTGGTCTCCAACCTTTCTCTTCTTCTCTTCCAACATCAGCTCCAAATCGGCAACACTAAAGCTTGCCTTCACACGCTCAGCAATCTGCGCGATAGCTGCTGCATCCAACTCAGATGGTACAACTGACACAGGCGAGCGAACCGCTTCGCCTTCCAGCTTTGCTCTCTTAGCAGCTTCTTCCTCGGCAGCTGACAGGTCGGCGCTGCGCTTGCGCTTTCGCTCAGCTTCCTCGAACTCTCGGTCTTGCTGTTCCGCTGCAGCCTTGAGGATCCGCTTCAGGTCCTTTTCCTCCTTCTCGAGTTTCCCAACATTCTCACCCATGATCCCAAAGGCTTGCTGCCACATGTCGGCAGGCAACGTCAAGTTGAACCTCACCACATAGTCGGTCGGCAAGTGCCACTTACACTTGCAGATCCACACAACACCGCTTCGAGTCTCACTCGCAACCACCTTCTTCCAGCTTGCCGCCCTCTGCGTGTCGGTGATCTCCTCTTTCTTTTTCTCCAGGTCCTCCAAGAATCCTGCAACAGACTCCATCACGGATCTGTAGTGGCTGTAGGCCACAAACGACCACTTGGGGACTGGTCTCTCCCTCAGCTCCGGCTCATGAATCCGAAGTGTATCACACGACAACATCGAAATCACTCGCACTCGCTCCACCAGTTCCTTAAACACCAAGGATCCTTCCTTTGCACTTCTCTTCCAGCGCAACACCCATGGGGGATAATACGAGCTCTCAGCTTCATCCTCCATGATCCTCTCTGCTCCCAAAATGGGTAGCATGCACAACAGATCCACCATCCGCAAGACTCCGAGGTCCTGGTGTTCACCCAGAAGCAAAACAG